TCAATTTTCGAAAAGACCCGTGCTGTTCGTAGTTGATCTATCAGTTCGTCGGCTCGGGGAATGGGGTATCGCGACTTGACTGTTACCCTGTTCAGTGCTCTGTAGTCGATACACATGCGAAAGCCCCCGTCTTTTTTCGGTATGAACAGTATCGGTGCGGCGAACGGTGACGAGCTCGGTCGGGTGAATTTTTTCTCTAACAGGTAATATAACTGCTTCCTCAGTTCATCGAGCTCTGGCTGTGTCAGTCGGAATTGTCGCTCTACAGTTGGCTGTGCCCCCGGTTCTAACTCTATTCGGTGGTCATGTACCCGCTGAGGTGGCAGTTGTCAGAATATTATGCTCTAGCCTGTAGTGGGGTGCTCTATAGCGAGTACAACCCTTCTAGGGTTTGCTATTTGTATCCTCATTCTTGCTAGTGCAACCCCTTCCCCTTTTGCCTAAACTGTTTCTTGCCTAGCTAGGGCTTTCCTAGCTATGGCGCCTTCTTCTACTGCTTATTTTCACATGGTATCAGAGCGATATGCTCCTGGCCTGTGGGCCCCACCTCACTGCTTCCGCTGCTACTGCTACTCCCTGTCCGCCGCGCGCCCCGTGGTGCGCGGCGTCGAAATTAGGGTTTTTCAGCCCGCCGTGCGCCCCGAGGCGCGCGGCGGTTTTCTGCCCGCCGTGCGCCCCGAGGCGCGCGGCGGTTTTCTGCCCGCCGTGCGCCCCGAGGCGCGCGACGGGTTTCTGCCCCGTCACTCGGCGCGTCGCCCCCAGGAGGCGCTACGACGGGCGACGGGGACCCGCGCGTCGCCCCCCGTCGCCCGTCGTGGTCTGCGCGCGGCCCGTACAGCCGGCGCGCGGCCCGTACGGGCTGCGCCAGGCCTGCGCGCGGCCCGTACGGGCTGCGCCAGGCCCGCGCGCCGCCCGTACGGGCTGCGCCAGGCCCGCGCGCGGCCCGTACGGGCTGCGTCAGGCCCGCGCGCGGCCCGTACGGGCTGCGCCAGGCCCGCGCGCGGCTCGGGCCGCCTGCGCGCGGTTCGGGAGGCTGTGCCAGGCCCGTGGGCGGCCCGTTCTTCGCTGCCCCTGTCCTCCCCGCTGTCCCCCGTGCTTCTGAAGGCGCCCCACCCCTCCTTCTGCCCGTTCTCCTGGATTAGGGTTTGGGGGTGGGGGGTATGGGGGTGCAGCTTCTGTGTGCCGTTCCCTGCTCCTCCTCCTCCTCCGTCTCCCTGTGCTGCAGCTGCCGCTGAAGGGGGGTGGACCTGTTGGAGCCGTCGGAGTGGTACTAAGGGGGGGTGAAGGGGGAGTGGAGCTAGGGGTGAAGCAGGGGGTGTGTGTCAGGGGGGGTGGTACTGTTTGGGGGAGGTTGAACGGAGGTTGCCGTCGTGTCGCCAGCAGCACCTGTAGTCCGGGGAGTTGCTCCGGTAGCCCAGTCGTAGCCACCTGTGCCAGTCGCCCGTGGGTCCGTTGCTCGTCTGCCGCTACTTTTAGCCGCGGGGCCAGTTACTCCAGTAGTCCGGAGCGCTGTTCCGGTAGCCGCTGTGCCAGTGTGCCTCCTGTTGCCCGTGTGTCTGCAGCTTCAGCCGTCGCCTCCTATCTCCTCTCCTCTCATTGTCCCTCCTCCTCCTCACTTGCCCGTTGTGACTACCACTAGCTTTGCTCATAATTGTGAACTTTAAACTATTGCTTCCTGAACTTGTGCTCAGAATGTGTGGTGACATTGTGATCCACCCTGAGCTTGTTCTGCTTTGCTTGCTCTGCTGATTACACCCCACTTTGGCTATGGGGGTGTGTCAGAATATTATGCTCTAGCCTGTAGTGGGGTGCTCTATAGCGAGTACAACCCTTCTAGGGTTTGCTATTTGTATCCTCATTCTTGCTAGTGCAACCCCTTCCCCTTTTGCCTAAACTGTTTCTTGCCTAGCTAGGGCTTTCCTAGCTATGGCGCCTTCTTCTACTGCTTATTTTCACAGCAGTCCCACTGGTAAATCGTCAGGAAAAATCCCCGGGTACCGTTTCAACAGTTCCTGTAGTTCGGGCGGTACCGCTGCCAACAGTTTCTGAAAATCGCTCAGCTGCTCTGCTTCTCCTACCAATGCTATATCCACTGCGTACACGTCAGCTCCAGCGGCGACAGCCCGTTTCATCGTGATGGCGTTGACGTGGACCGTTGAAGACTCGGGCGACTGCCTGCGAGGTAGCACGACCCAGTTACTGCTGCTTCGCACAGTGCAGCTACCCGTCGTCCAGTCGATTCGCGGATTATACCGTCGCAGCCAGTCACGTCCCAGTAAAATGTCGTGCCCATCCAGTGTCGTCGCGAGCATTTCCTGTGTAAACCCAAAGTTCCCCCCGAAGCGGACTTTTACTCTTTCCACCTTCTCCCGTATGGCCAGCGGCGTGCCGTCGACTAAGCGTGCATCTATCTCCAGTAAACACCGACTAAGTGTCAGCTGCAGCTTCCGTGCGGTTGCGGTATTAACTAAGCTGTGACTTGCTCCTCCGTCGATAAAAATCTTCACTGCTGCTCCCTGTATTTTCCCGTGAATCAGTACGAGGCAATCCGTCGCTGTACCCTCCTTATTCATCCGAGCCCGATCGATAGCGTGAATCGGTACTGTGACTCGGTGAGGGTCGGTGAGGTTGGGCGAGCAGGCAGTCTCGTCAGTAGTTGGCCCAATTTCTACTGACTGCTGGCGTTTCCCTGCCTCTGAGACTCCCTCCCCTGCTCTGCTCCGCGGCGCCTTAGCTCCTCTGGGCACTCGCTTTTGCGATGGCCCGGCCTGTTGCAAGCAAAGCAGCGCCCCTTAAACGGCGCGGCAGCTGCATTCGTCGCAATGGCGTGTACGGTGGCGTGCTCGATCGGTCCCCGAGGGCGATGTCCGTAATAGGACCCCGGTCTCGGACGGCGCAAAATGTCGATTTTCTCGGCGAGCGCGAGGATCTCGTTAAAATTCGAGAGCCCGCGCAGCATGATTTTGTGCGAGATGTCCGGCTTCAGCCCTCCGACGTAACGGTCCACCCGCTCCGCTTCGTGCATGTAGCCGACTTGCTCGCATAATGCGAGAAAACCGCTTGTGTAGTCTTGAACTGATCCGAGCTGCCGCCAAGTACGGGTTTAGCTCGATGGGTGTATTTAAGACACCTGGCGGTGTGTACGAGTTAAGCCAGTGTAGGGGTTAGGGGCAATCTTATGACGAGGGGGTATCTTCCAAACGGTTCTTTGTCCACTTATAAAAATTATAAGACACCCTAAACCACCCCAATTACAAGACAACCCAAGCATTTTTTCTAATGTATAAGTGTAAGGAAAAATCCTTTTCCTTACTTCGCGTCCCTGCTACCGCGTACATGCCAGCTCCCGCCATCGGCACCCATCCGTGAACTTTACCCGCTCGCGACATTCACCTCCACCACGACCCCCGCCACTGTTCGCGATGCGACCCAACCTAACGGTTCGGTTGGTAACCCGCGCTCCGGACCTCCGCCTCGACAACTTCCCGAACCTCGGCGCTAGGCCCGTAGCGCACCCCAATTTCCCACATTACCGTTACCATGCTAGCTTCGCTATATAACTTCGCTCATGCTTTTCGCTCAACTGTATTGTTTGCTTCGATAGTGCAATTCTCGCTCGCTCACTCAATTGCACTCGTAACACATGGTATTCAGAGCCTACGATCTCCTCTCGGACCGCGCCCACACCTTCGCTTCCCCATTATCTCAAATTTTTTGGGGGGGGTAGACGTCTCTCAGCGAACAAGCACCGCCGCTCGAAGTGCTCTCTCGTAAGCACGCACGGCCAGGACAGAGGCTCTCGCTGAGCTTGCCCGACACCCCCGCCATGGCCGAAATTAATCTTGCGACATTGACGCAGGAACAACTCGACCGTCTCGTGCGCCAACTCGAAGACTCGGCGCTCGAAATCGCGACACTCACGGCGGAACGTGACTCCGCCCGCCAGCAATCAACAGTGAATGCGCCAGCACCATCACAAGCACCCGCAAATGCACCTGCGCAATCAGAAGACACCCCCTGTCTTCAATTCGACACTGTCTTATATCCGGGCGATGACGGTAGGTGTTGCTTCGTCCTGATGCATCTTGTGTGCGTTGAAGCTGTCCCTTATCTAGGTATGATCCTTGCTTTTTGCAATGTGTTAATCTGAACTAATATTAATATATTATATCATACATTCCATTGCCCCCTCAATCTTCCACTTGGCCTTCACTATAAGCAATACCACTTTTGTGTTAGCTAAAGGCACAGTGCCAACGTAAACTTTAGACTAGTTGGGCTCAGCCACATGGACATGGCATTTGGTACAAGCTTCTAAAAACTGCATTCATTTTTGTATGCAAGGCATGTACACATGCACTGTAGTCTGAAGTGGAAAATGATCAATAGTTAGCAAGGGCCCCGAGGGTCAGCAGTTACATTGTAACAAAGATGGTCACCAAGAAGGTAACGCATTGACATGCACCAGTCAGAAAGGCTCCCTGCTGTCCTATCTTAACCACATGCACCACATGCACTGTGATGTGAACATGCCTGTATAACCCACCCATTGCTACAACTCGCTCCCCATCACCACACCTCACCTCCCCTCGCCACTCATCACTACCCATCTCCACCCAGAGTTTCTAACCTTAGGATGGCTGCACATGACTGCCATGCCTACCCGCACCCACCACACACAACCACACACATACCCCACCCCCCCCCTCTACCACCGCCCCACGCCTTGCCATGGTTAACCCATTCCCCCCAGTCAATTAGCTCTGTGTTGCAATGCAACCAGTCAGCCCACATCCCTTCCAACATCAGGCGCACACGCACTCATCCTTACCAAACCACGCCCAGCTCACCATTACCCAGTCCAACCCCTCACAACCACTCGTGCCATACACACAGGTCTGGGCGCTCAGCTCCAGGCGTTCAGGGTTCAGGTGGCTTTTGAGTCGAATCAAAAGTCGCTCCAGGCGTTCAGGGTTCAGGGTCTGGGCGCCACATTGAGTTCAGCGGCCTGACAGTGCAAGGCGCGGCTGAATGAACGTGGGGATGCTTCTTGCACTCGCATCTGACGACCCCCCCTCCCATGACCCCTGCCGTGCATACTGCTCCGCGAGTGACATGCCCCCTCCCACTCCTTTCACGTTCCCTCCCCCATGCTCTCCTCCTCCCCCTCTCCTCACACCAGCCCCAACAACCACCTCACTCATGAGCTTGCTGCCTGCTGCCCTGCCTTCTCTCCCCCTCTGCTTCCCTGCCCCGATATCAGCAACCTTCTGAGTCTGCAGCCCTGGCCCCTTTCTCACTCCCTCTGCTTCTGATCCAATGCCCTCTGCATCACACCCATCCGAACCCCTTAGAGAGTCTTCAGCACATAGCAGCAGACCCTTCGTCTCCTCCTCCCCCCTTCCTGCCCTCTTACACGCACCCTTCTCTACAAGCACGTCCTCTAGTTGATCCCCGATTCTCTTTATAATGAACGATCCCCCTTTCGTCCAGCTCACCGGCTCCCCTGCCGCATCAAGTCCCCCACTGAAACTCCCTCTCCCCCTCCTCTCCCCACTCCCGCTCTTCCCACTCTCACTCCTATCACTCGCCCAACCGCCACTCCACGAATCCCGAACCGACGGCGTAGGGTACCCGTCCGAACCTAACCGCATGGACGGGGTTGGGTACCCATCCGAGCCTAGCAACAAGGTCGGGGTGGGGAACCCATCCGAACCTACACTGAGCGGGCCGCTGGACATGAAAATACTGCGATCGCCCGAGGAAGAGGACGAGCCAAGCCGCCCGCTGCTGCTGCGGCTGGTGGTGGTGGTGGTGCTGGGGGTGGTGAGGGTGGGAGTGAGGACGTGGGGGGTCATGTCCCCTGGTGTGCCAGTCAAAGCTGCAGGCATTGCCGCGTATCGACCGGAGCCAAAGCTGTAAGCGCCCAAGGAGGAAGGAGAGGGGTCGATCACCAGGGATAGGTGGTGCGGGTGCGCGTGGGGGTGAGAGTGAGAATGAGAGTTGGAGTGAGGGCTGTTGAGCTGGGAGATGGCAGAGACTGCTGCGCCAGTTGCTGAAACAGCAACAGCAACAGCAGCAGTTGCAGGATCAGGAGAGAAGATAGCCTCTTCAGGAGAGGCAGAGGCAGTGGCAGGAGCAGGAGCGTCAGCAGCGTCGGCATCTCCATCAGCAATAGCTTCAAGAGGAAGACTCGCGCGTGCACTCGCACGAGCATGAGCATCAGAACGAGCGTGGGTATCGAATGGTCCTTGTGCGTCCATGTGCTGCCACTGCAGCAATGCCTCCGCCAGACTCACACCCAGGTCGATGCCCGCTACACTCACGTCCTCCTCACACACCTGTGTCGTAGTGGTGGTGGTGGGGAGTTGGGAACAGGGAAAGTGGGAAAGTGGAAAGAAGGAAAGTGAGAAAGGGTTACGGGAAAGAAAAGGAAAAAAGGAGATGTAAAAGCAGAGCTGCAAGCACAAATGCACTTCCACCCATTCCCTCACCTGCTTGCCCTGCTCCTTCTGCGCCTCCTCCTGCTCCTGCTGCTGCAGCTGCTGCAGCAGTGGCGCCAGTACGCCCACCACTCCCCCCATGGAGGGGCGCTGCCGAGGGTCTCTCGCCACACACGTCACTGCTAGGTCTGCCATTGCACACACCGATGTGAACACACCTCCGTACCCATGCGCCGGGCCATGCTCCTCGGGCATCTCGGGCAAGAGGATGGGGTCTACGACCTGAGGGGGGCCGAGGAGGGTGGGGGAAGAAGCAAAAGAAGCAAGAGTGTTTGACTGATTCAAGCGATACAGAGTCACTGCCATATGGGACACATCATTGATCATGAACGGCATACAATGGTATGTCTCAAGTTTCCACTGTCTCCTCCTCATCCACTAAATACCCACTCTCTCCCAACTCCACATTCCCACGCCCACCTTAATTTAGGTGGCCTTGGAATGACTAGAGGGGTGACTGTTCACGCAGGAACTCAAAAACCACCACACAAACCCCACCACCCCTCCTCCTCCCCACAACTCCCCCGTTTCCCCCCTTCCTCCAGCCCCTCCTCCCACCCTCTCGCACCTTAGCGAGCTGGTCCCGGAGCGGCACGAGGGGCGTGAGCCACGTGGCGAGGTGCGCCGCCTCGTCCGCCTTGGAGTCATCCAGTGCACGCCGCCCCGTGATCAGCTCCATCAGCACCACGCCATAGCTGTACACGTCTGATCGTGTTGTCACTCTCCCGGTCACTGCAGGACGGATATAAGGAGGGAACAAACGGTGCACGATGAGAACCTGGCTGGCTCTATACCCCCGTGGAATCCACGCCCCGTGATCAGCTCCATGAGCACCACGCCGTAGCTGTACACGTCCGACCCGCGTGGTCACCCGCCCGGTTACTGTTGGGCACAGGGAAGGGAAGACAAAGGTTAAGGGAGGAGGTAGGGTGGGTGTGGGGGGTAGCGTTGCTGTCCTGTGATCAGCTCCATGAGCACCACACCATAGCTGTACACGTCCGATCGTGAGGTAACCCGCCCGGTCACTGCAGGAGCGTACAAGGCGGGAACAGGGGGCGCAGCGCAAGCTGTGATCAGAAGGGGGAACAGGAAGCCAACAGAATTGCCTCCACCCGTGATCACCTCCATCCATGAGTCGACTCAAAAGTCACCTCGTTACAATGGCGCACGACACAAGTCATTTCTCACCCGCATATTCCGGCGCCAGGTACCCAAACGTGCCCGCGATGCGCGTCTCGATGCTCTGCATTCCATCCCCCTTGCTGTGCTTCACCAGCCCGAAATCCGCCACGCGCGCGCGCATGCCCTCGTCCAGCAGAATATTACTCGCTTTCAGATCCCTGTGAATGAACGACGTGTGCGCGAGCGAGTGTAGATACTCCACGCCGCGCGCCACGTCCAGCGCCACGGACACGCGCGCGCGCCACGTCAGCGGCGGCAGCGCGAGGCGGCGGTGGTCGAAGAGGTGGCGGCTGAGCGGGCCGCGCGCCATGAGCTGATACACCAGCACGCGCTCGTTACCCTCCACCGCGTAGCCCAGTAGGCCTAACAGGTGGCGATGGCGCACCGACGACAGCACCTCGATTTCCGCCTGGGAGGGGGAGATGGGGGAGAGGGGAGTGAGAGGCCGCGCGCCATGAGCTGATACACCAGCACGCACTCGTTACCCTCCACCGCGTAGCCTGGTAGCCCCAGCAGGTGACGGTGGCGCACCGACGACAGCACCTCGATTTCCGCCTGTGACGATCGGGGCAGGAGGGGAGAGGGGGGAATGGGATGGTCAGCTAGCCCTCGACTGCGCATGGCCCTCTGGCCGCTCAGGCCTGGGCTATCTCGCGATGGATGCTCTCTGTTCAGTTTTGACGCGCCTCAAAAGTGAAGAGAGAGCAAAACTAGGCCTGGGGTTCGAAACCTTCTTCTACTCAGCCTGGGCTATCTCGCAAAGAATGCTCTCTGTTGCGAGATTTTTCCATAGCTTGTCTTCTCTGTTGTTGTTTCTTCTTCTTTTCTCGTTTACTTTTTCTCAACGGTCAAGATCTCTCTGTACGCTATTGTCATGCCATTTGGCACGCCATGTGCGCGCCCACGTGCCCTGCCATGTCCGCCCGCTGCACTGTCACGCATCCCCGCCGTACCTGGAACTCCGAGTCGCCCTTCTTGGCCAGCTGCGCCACCTCCATGCGCTTCACCGCCACCCCCGTACCGTCCGCCAACTCGCCCTGCGCGCACACACACACACCGCAACACGCACAGTCGTCACACACACAGCATTGCAGATACACGGGTCAGGTCAGCTATGCACCGCAAGAGAGCGAGAATCCCACAGGAGCATCTCAAGCCGAATAAATCAACAGCCCATTACGGCCTGATATGTTCCGGTTTAAGTCGCCCATACATAAATTGCCTTGGAGCATCTCAGGCCGTAATATGCATTCAGGCTTGGCGCGGACGGAAGCACATACACTCTCACCTCTCAATCACCCATAACTCAATAATGCCACGCGCCCACGCGCCCAGGATCCCCCCGGTTCCTCTCCTCTCCTCCCCTCCCCTTCCCCCCCCCTCACCTTATACACGGTACCGAAGCCCCCCTTGCCAATGATGTTCTCCGCGGCAAACCCCCCCGTCGCCGCGCGGATCACGTCCATGCGCATCACCATGCCGCTCATGCCCGCGCCCGCGCTCCCCCCCGCCCCCATGCTTCCGCCCGAACCCATGCTTCCGCTCCCCGTGCTCAGTCCGCCACTCCCGCTCCTTCCGCCATTGCTACCCGCCCACGCGCCCAGATTCAACACCACATCCCCGCCGACCCCTCCGTTCAGCCCTGATCCGCTCCCCCACCCGCTTCCCCCTGCCCCCTCTCCGCCGCTTGCTGCGCCGCCTGCTCCAGCTAACGCAGCGGAATACCCTCCCCCTGCTGCGCCTTCTGTGGCGGAAGAGTAGGGAGCGGAGGAGGCGGCGGAGGTGTGGGGGGAAGGGGCGACGGAGGGGAGGCTGGGGGGAAAGAGCGGGAGGGAAGGGGGATGAAAGCAGGGGGAAGGTGTTGAGAGTTTCGGGTGGGGATTCGGGGTGAGAGATCGGGGTGGGGCGGGGGAAGAAGGAATCAACGGGGAGAGAAGGGAGACGTGGGAGGAGAGGAATAGAGCCGCCATGGCTGAGAGAGGAGGCCAACAAGACGAGAGGAGATAGAGCCGGGTTTAGGGTTGGTCAATGTGAACGGTCAACCGTCGCCCTAAAGCGGAAAAACGAAAGCGAGGCAGGGGGAGAGGAACGAGAGGGAGGAAACGCATGGGCGCATAGCTCTGGTTGACTCATGTGAACGGTCATGCGCGACACGAGTACTCACACTTGCGACGTGGTAGCAGCGGCGCCCTTGCGCCCACCGCTTCCCCACTTCCCGCGCCAGTACCGCATCCCCAGCACCCCCGCGCACAGCACCAGCAGCAGCAGCAGCAGCGCCGCCACCGCAATCACCGCAATCAGCGGAGTGCTCAGCGCGGGTGCGGAAGCATCGGGGGGAGGCGGGGAGGTTGGGGGGGAGGGCGCGGACGCGCCAGGAGCGGACGAGGCGGTGCGGGAGGTGTCGGAGGTGGGGGGGGGAAGAGATGGGGTGGCGGATGTGGGGGAGGGGGCGCCGGGAGCGCTGGGGGGGGCGGAGAGTTGGGGGGAGAGTGAGGGGGAGGCTGGGACAGTGTGGGGGGGCGATGCTGGTCTCGTCTTTGTCCCAGCGCCGCTGCCGCCGTGGCCGCCGCGGCCGCCGTTGCTAGCAGCGGAATCGTTCGAGTCCGCGGGGGATGGAGTGCCACGCGCGTTCCCCCCCGGATTGCTGCGAATAGACGCGGGAGGCGCAACGGGCGGGGGAAGGGCGGAAGCGGGCGCTTCGATATCCACCACGGGCGGGGGAGAGGCGCGCTTGGGGGAAGCGGATGGAGGAGGAGGGGAGGTCGCGTCGGAAGGAGAAGCGGGGGGAGCGGACGGCAGAGTAGGCGGAGAGGTGGAGGGGGAAGAGTTTCCGAGAGAGTCCGCGGGAGGGCCTTCGGGGGAGATCTGGATATCGCTCATGGGCGGTGTACCGCTGCCGGACTCGTTCTTGGGCGCGCTGTTTTCACCCCCGCCGCTGCTGCTATTTCCACCGTCTTTGCTCGAATTTCCCGGCGCATGGGGCGGCGGAGAGGACGGCGGACCGCTTGCCTGTCCGTTGCTTCCCTCCCCGCCACTCCCCGCATTGCTTCCGCTACTGCTGCTGTTGCCACCGCCGCTACTGGCGCCGCCGCCGCTCTCTCCGCTGCTGTTTGTCACTGGTGGCGGGGACGATGGGGGGGCCGCGGCGGCGGGAGCGTCACCCCCCGCGGAACCTCCGCCTTCCAGCTTGTTTCCCGTCGCCGCCACCGTCACTTGCGGCGGGAAATCCGGCAGCGGTCCGGTGAGCTGGTTGTTCGCCACGTTGACGGCTCGCAGCGCGGGCAGCTGCGCAAGCTCCGCGGGCAGCGAGCCCTCGAGATTGTTGTCGGGCAGCTGAAGCATTTCCAGCGCGGGCAGCCGCGCGAGCGACGCGGAAATGGTTCCGTTCAGATTCTGCGAGGGAATGGTGAGACTGGTAACTTGGCCGTCCGCGGAACACCCAACGCCAAGCCACGTGGCAGAAGACGACTGGCCACCCGGCGAGTTCCCCGCAGAGCCCGAAGAGCAGGGGTCGTTAGCAACCCACGAGTCGCTAAGCGCAGGAGCATATTCGACGCCTCTTAAAAACTCCAGCAACGCCATGGCCTCGTCGGAACACGCGTCGCCTGGGCTCGCGGCGCACCACCCGTTCTCCCCCCAGCTCCCCTCCCCGAACCGCTCCATAAACGCAGGGATCGGGCCGACTAGTTTGTTCCGCTGCACCTGCAGTTCTGATAGCTGGCGCGCCTCGCCGAGCGAATCGGGTAACATACCGACAAGGCCGTTCTCGTATATTTTCACGGACTGCAGTAGAGACAACGGGCCGCCTAGCGCGTCGGGAATCGGCCCCGAGAGGTCGTTACCGTGTAACCAGAGTTCCGACAGGAGCGGCGCGGAGGCGAGCGACGCGGGAATGGGGCCGGTCAGCCGGTTGTTGTTGAGTCGGAGCGAGAGCAGCGACGGCATGTGCGCTCCGAACATCCCCTCGGGAATCCCGCCGTCGAACGCGTTAAGACCGAGGGACACGTTCGTGAGTGCGACGAGCGACGCGAGATACGAGGGTAATTCACCCGTGAAGGAGCAGTTGGTGAGGAGCAAGATCTTAAGATTCGTGTTTGCGGATAGATCCGGCGGTGGCTGCCCCCCAAGCGGGTTGCTTTGAAGATACAGCGCTTCGAGCGCCGTCATGTTCGCGAACAGGTCTTGCGGCGCGCTGGTGAATCCGTTGTGGTCCAGCCCTAGCTGCTCCATGCGCGCCAGCTCCCCCAGTTCCCGCGGAATCTCCCCCACGAACCCGTTGTTCCCGATGAACAGCGCGCGCAGATAGGCTAGGCGCGCGAGCTGCGCGGGGAACGGGGAGCCGCTCCCCCCGAGGTTAAGACCGTCGATTAGGAGCGACGAGATGCGGTGCTCTTGCGTGATTGCGTCGCGCGTGCACGTGACGTGGCTCCAGTCGTCGATACACGGGTCGCCGCCCGAGTCGGGCCAGCTCAGCGCAGACGGGTTTGCGACAGCGGCTTTAAACTCGAGAAGCGCATCCGTGTCGCCCTGAAACGTGGCGGCAGACACGAGCGGCAGGCGAAGGGAAAGCGCGAAAGCGGCGAGGAGGAGCAGCGACGAGCAGCGGAGCGAGGGTCTGAGAAGGCGTTTCGAGGAGCGCGTTGTTGGGTGTCTGGCACGCGCGATAGTAAGCGTGCGAGGCAGTGTCGGGGCCATCCTCACGGGCTAGTCAGGCTCTCACGCGCATGGAACCGCGCTCTGTTGCGGCAGGACGCGCGAGAGGGAACGGGGTTGGGCACGACTAGGGGACTGGCGGTATTCGCTCGTGGCTCAAGTCGGATGTAGTGCTACGAAGCAAGAACAGTTGGCGCTAAGCGTGTCTGGGCGTGTCTAGGCGTGTCGAGGGGTTGATGGTGGAGTGCTTCCTATCTTCGCGTACGACACACTTCCGTGGCTTTGTCGTTGAAAAGCTAGACTACCTTCGAAACAATGGCAGCGAACGGTTGAGCAGCACAGGGAACTACGGGCACGGCATTACTCGTGGCTGTCGTACCGCCACCGCGAGTATGCGTCCTGGCCACTACTCGCTCGTGACCTGCTTGCTAGATCGAGGGTGATGCGCTCACGCGAGACTGGCCTCTAGATGGGTGGGCGTTCGATCAGGCATACGCGAGCTGCGTTACGCTGTAATCGACGAGTCTAACGCATCAGCCCCGTGATACTCTACTGCGGTTGAGAAATGCTGTGAAGGCAGTGATGCAAGATGGAAAGGAGAGCGTGGATGGGCGCCGTCAGATGAACCGTCCACTGCGCATCATCTCACTCGCCGTCTCATCGTCGCGGGTGAGAGACTACGAGCACTGATGGGCAAATGTCGGACTGCGTCACTCAGTGAGCGTCTGTGCGAGGGAACCTAAAACTTCGAACTTGTTTTGCTGGCAGAGTGCACCTGATGGGCCCGTTGTCGTGTTTTGTGGAAGGCTGCGTTGGTTTTGCTAGGAGAGACTGAGCTGTAGTAGCAGAGTGTGTGTCTGGCGCAGGCTACCAAATCATCCCTTCCCGACTCGCATCACCCTTGGCTTTGATGCTCTTCAGCGGATTCCATGCAGGCCTGCGCATCAGAGATTCTTTGCTCCTCGCCCCTGCCAGCGGACTCAAGGTTCAGCTTGCTGTGAGATGAAATTGATGTTGATGGATGCCTGAAATGTGTGGTGCAAAGCCGCGACTCGAGAATGGCGGTGCGGGGAAAGGTCAAGGGACATCGCAGAGTCTCGTAGAAGCTGCTCGTGCGTTTTCGGGCGAGTTTGATTGGTCCTTGAGTTCAGTTCTCACCTAAACTTGATCTCTTCGCAGAGATCGGACGGACAAGACAAGGCCTTTGAGAATTCTCGGAAAGATGGAGCTTGTTGACATGGCAGGTTCGACCCTGCATAAAAGACAGGATTCGGCTGACACACCTAGAACCGCGCCGCATTCTTCAGAAACAATAATCAGGTCAGCGACTCGTCAGGAAGTGTGAGGAGGGGCCAACCGCACTGGCAAACATAACAGATACACTTCTGCAAGCCACTAAATGCTCTGTAGGAGTACGGAATTGCAAACCATTATTTCTAGGACCCAAACCACTTCCAACCTCATGAACGTTTTGACATCCCCTTTAAATATCTTACTGGTTCTGGTGCCTGAAAACGGCTGGCATTGCTCTGACATCATTCTTGATTTTGTCTTGGTAAGTTGCTCTGTTCAATTCATCTAACATACCCACCAAACGTCATGATCACAACACATCAAACAAAAGCATGGAGGTTATGATGGAGCTTGCTCATCACACACCTCCACATACCTTCCTACTTCTCCACTTCTGCTTTCACCTCCTCTTCCATTTCCCTAAGCACCTGCATAAACCCCTTGGCATCTGTGACTTCTCTTTGAAACTCAAACCTAAATTCTCGCCACTGCGGCTTCTCGGATGGGCTGGATTCTTCTGCATGCTGCTGTTGTGGTGGCTGCATCGACTGTGAGAGGAGGTTGAAGCCTCGGCGGTCAGCAGAAAAGAGAAATGTGGTCTGGAGATTGGCGGGAGGGAGTGAGAGTCAGATTGACACGAAGGGCAGCAACAATTAGAATGCTAAACAAATGAGAAGAGTGTAAAGAAATAAAGGCGGCAAGGGGTGTGAACTGTGAACAGAAGTTAACAGGCTAAATGGGCTGAGATTTAACCACGACCTACGCAAGTGGGGGGAGTGGCAACGAGCACGAGCAAGCCTGAGGTGCAAGCTTGGTCTCATCCTTTACCTGTGGGCGAGCAGGCACTTGCAGAAAGGCCTCGCAGAAGGAAGCAAAGGCAGTCCGCGACGCAGCGGAGGAGTTGAGTGCGAGGAGCAGAGGGACGAGAGACGTGGCTGCAGTAACACAGGTGAAGGGGTAGTGGAGAGAAGGGGAGGCCGTGAGGCAGGGCGGGAGGAGGGATGTGAGTTGTCGAGATGGATCGTTGGGAAGTTAGTATGGTGTGAGAGGTGGTGTGCATGGTGCGAAACGAAAAGAATCTGAAAGCGCAGAACAGATCTCGAAGGTTCAGAGAGTCAAAAGAAAAAAGGGGAAGGATTGGCACGTCTGGGAGATGACAGAATGGAAAAGGCCGACAGATTCCGGATGGTACAAGCAGGTTGTGGGGAGACAAGCAGGTGTGTGGATAAGTGGGTCGGTGTATGGGTGCATTGGTGTGTCGGGGTACGAGTGAGTTTGCTGGTGGGTGGGAGGGAGGACACGCACCAAGGGGGTCCGTGGCGGCGGGTTTGACATCTGCCACAGGCAGTGACGTTCGCTTGCCTTTGAAATCAACCAGCTGGCATGACCTGATGCAATGCATGGCAGCATGGATGGAGGATGAACATGGGATGGGATGGCATGATGGGAAGAGGATGACGAGCGCATGACCACATGGCAAGAGAATGCAAGGATGGAAAACAAGGGGAGCATGAATGAAGCAGGATGAGGCACTGAGGGAAGGAAGCACATCAAGAACATCCAGAACCCATGCACCCCGTGCCATCACATTACAACAACACACTCAGCCACAAAACATTAAATGGTATCATAGACTGTGGATCAGATCGCAACCACATCGCATCACATCACATCACATCGCATCGCATCGCATCACATTACAGCTTATCCCATACCATCCCATCCCCACCTAGCTTCCATGCGGAAAAAGGTCAGAGCCTCCTCCTCTCCTTTCCCACCCCCACCACCTTCCGCCACAGTTTGCGAGAGGGGTGGTGGGCAGGGGAGAGGGGAGGAGGGAGGGGAGGGCAAAGCGGCCTCCAGTCTAGCAACAGCCGCTGCAGCTGCCTCCGCCTTTGCTGTGAAGCGACGGAGGATGAAAGGGGTCTGCAACAGCACAAGGGGAGGAAGAGAGAGAGAGCGAGAGGGACATGAATGAGGGAAGCCGGAGCTTGAAGGTGGAAAGATGGGTGGTAGTGGCAGGGGAAGACAGTGGCATGGTGGAAGAAATTAGAAAAAAGGACAGGAATCGGGAGGAATCCAGGAGGGCGCAAGCAAGAGGGTATGGGAGGGAAGCGGTAGTACATATCATATCAAGGATGAGTTCGTGCACATGAGCTGGCCTTGGAGAGGCCAGGGACGTGTCTAAAACGACAGTACTATGCCTACCTCGGATGAGTCCACGGCCACGAGCTCGCCCAGAAGGGCAACACGGGGTGGCATCTGGTGGTGATGGTAACAGGTGGGCACACAATGAGTGAGGGCACATGGTTGGGTGATGGCACATGGTTGGGTGATGGCACATGGTAGGATAGCACTGAACGATGGTTGCAAGCAATGACGAGTGTATCATTGTATGTGCTGACTATGGAGGAGTAGAACAGAGGGATATGGGCAAGATCGGAATTGCGTTTGAGACGGGTGCAGTCGAAGCAGCAATAAAGCGTAAAGACTATATGCGCATTTGTGCAGTGTGCGTATTGGGATGAAAAGTGTGTGATTCCCCTCCCACCTGGCCAGATGTGAGGAGGGAGCGGATGAGAGCAGGGGGGTCAGTACCCCCCACCGTGAGTGAAGCCCTGTCGTCCATAAGAAGGTTCTGGGAGGACGGGAGAGGCAGAGGCGGAAGAGGGGAGGATGCAACAAAAGGCAGCGGAGAATGCAAAGGAAGGCAGGGGAGAAGCATTGGAGCAATAAAGATGTGGCAAATATAGAAACGAGGCTCTAAGAACTAATAACGGCAGTCATTCAAAGGTTTATGAGTGAAACAAATGGCATGCTTTGAAGTGTATTTGATTTGAAGTACTTTACTTGAAACGCACCACGTGATGAGGGTCATCTGGGAGGAGAGCAACGATGGGGGAGCCATCCACCATGATGTAGCGCACCAACGACCCATGCAGCTTCTCCCGTGCCCTGATGCATGTGCACGTGTCAGTTGCGCACATGCACACATGTGAACACACACATGGACAAGAAGAGGAAACCAGCTTCTTTCGAATGAGTACCAACCATGCTTAGTTTCTACAGAACCTGTGGCGAGAAAACAGAAGAACCACTGAACTATGGTGCATGCCTCACCCTCTCCCAGCCCCCCTCCGTCCACATCCCTTTTTCTAGCACGCACATGGCAGCTGGAGAGGCATCGTCCTCCTCTGTATCGGGCTGAACACCTGCCCTCACTGTGGTGAGCTGCGCGCGCCAGTTCGCTGCTAGCAGGGACTGGAGAGGGGACAGCGGAGAGAGAGAAAGAAAGGAGGAGTTACACACAAACACATGGGGTGAGGCGGCGCAGTTCTTGCATGACAGGTGATGCGAGATTTGCATGCGAAACATGGAATGATGAAGGCGAATTCACAAGCTGCTTTCTCCGTCGAAACGGTCGCAAGGATCGGCAAATACTGTAGAAGCGTCTATTGCAGTGTCCGGAAGGTTCGAAAGAGCAAGGGACAACCTTACACCGCTCTGCTACAGGCAAGCCTGAAGGCCGCTCCTCCTGCTTCTCCGCGTCTTGATTCCCTGAAGAGCAACCTCCATGGGAGCTGGTGACGGCTTCACCTGACGTCAGGCCATCCCCTGGCAAGGATCTGAGGGTGGTTCCCCCATGGTGCGACCACGCGTGGTGGAGAGAGCGGACAGACGAAACCTGAGTGCCTGTCAGGAGTGGAGGTGGTTCGAAAGAAGGGATACGGTGGAAGATAAGATAGAAAACCTTGACGCGGGCCTAGAGACGTGAAAGAGAGGCATTGAGACTTGCTGGTAAACAATGGACGGCTTGAAACCCAGCCTGCCCACTACATGGGCTCTTTCCGGACTGGTTCAGGTCGCCACGTGAATCGTCTCGTTCGGTCGCTAAAGTGGGCCGCTTTACGGGTGATAAAGAACGACGATCAAGAAAATGGTAAGGACGAGATGAAGTCATGGCTGCATGAAGAGGCCATTCCGACATTCGCGGGGAAGGGATGCAGCTACAACAGGCACAAAGGTCGAACATGTCACCTGAACAAGGATCCTGTGATGCAACGCTCAAACCAGACGAGCTCAGCTCGAGTAGCGGGCGAAAAATAGTGATCGCAGGACCTGTACGGCTCATCCGACGGTCAAACGACTCGAGCACTTGACCGAGCCTTTTTAAAGGCTGGCGAACGCGTGCCATGGTTCGATAGCGGAAAGCAACTGTCCTCGTAGCTTGGGAGTTGTATAACGCACAAGCTCCTGTGATGGTTTCTGCACCTTCTGTTCTCATTTTAAGCTGCACTGTTATTGTTACGGTAGTTCCTTCCGTTGTAGATCATCATATACAGAAAGGTAAGCATATTGACAGAGCAGTATGGTTTTAGTCAAAGGGGTCTCCACCATACCCATGTATGTTCTCAGTTACGATACACCAATAGTGGAATGGCCACGAATATACAGAAGCACTTTCAACTTAAGGTAGCAGAGAATACTGAACAGTTAAGGGGGAAGGTACTGGTAAAAGCACGGAGGAATAATAATAAGTCAGGCCCTCTTTGTGAGTTGCTCGCTGCATCTATCTCCAAATAACCCTCGAAATGGTGCGTCTAACTGGTCCATCATTACCAACCCAAGACTACAGAGCTGGTGGAACCACGCGCAGCATTAAACTGATCCACTACGGATGAAGGTACAACCCCCCAGATTACAGAGCTGGAACCACGCAGCGAGCGAGCCTGCTAACAATGCCAAGAGGAGCACGCACAATATGACCCTGCAGAATGCTGAACACCTTGATCTGCCTGGCTTTTGGGGAAAACGATCTTCTTCCACCTGCAAGATGGCGAACTCTTACTGGTCCATACCATAATGTACAGCATGCAATCATTCCCTTCAACATACTCACACAAGACTCACCTTGGCTGATGCAGCTTCCACCTGAAAGCACACGCTTATTGTCAGAAGTCAAGCGGAGCATCCTGAGACTTATACTTAGGGTTCGTTCCTTACCTGCTCGATGTTGTTGGTCAAGGTACTCTGAACTTCCAGTACTTGGGCTTTGAGCTTGGCCAACTGCTTCATCTCGTCGCTATTATGCATGCTGAACTCCATGAGCTCTTTCATCAACGGCCTGGATCAAGTGGTAGGTGAGAAACAACGTGAGATGCCTTAACGCATGAAGCAAGCATACCCAAATTCCTGATTGAGTGCGTTGGCTTGAAGTGAATCCAGGCTACGACCCCCGTATTTGTCCACAAAGAGGTCTTTCAACTTCTCGAGATAAACGAAAGGTAGTCTGCGGCCGTACATGCAGTCAGCCATGACCATATAGGCTGCAGAGAGAAAAACCCAGTAAGGACATTTGCATTCGGAAGCGAACCCGAAGGCAGGATGATAACATACTGATCCCATGGAAAGTTAAATAGTTGAATGTGAGCTCATCGAAAGGATACGAGTATTTTCCTTTCGTAGATGCTACCGCTTTCTTCAACCCTTTCATTGCCTCCACCCTAAAGTTCCCCCCATAAGGAGTATACTCCACCAGTACAACATCTCCTCGTGAAATGAAAGAATAGATGAGAAGGTTGCGGGATTGATTCATTGGGAGCGAAAGGTGGGAGGGCGAAGATGCATTTACTGGAAACTGACAATCGCGGACTAGTTAGTATACTGGCAGTGGCTAATGTGAAATCCACCCTGACCAGGTTTGGAGCTGGTGGTGATAGTGTTGGCCTTGCTGCTTGTGGGAATTCTAGTGCGTCAGCTGCGAGCCATCCTCCCTTCAATGAGTTGGCGAACAGTCGGGTCAGGTGACAGGGTGCTATACCCGACAATGGTACTGTACTGGAGAAAACGATACCGATTGTGAGTGGGAAAGCACAATATAATCTGCAATGTATAAAGAAAGAGCCTTAAGAGCTATATAAAACAAAATGAAGCTCGGGAGATCCACATGTTCTATTAAATGCAATAACAAAGGAAGAGAAAATGTGGGAATTACGAATATTAATTTACCGTCGACTTCAAAACGCTACAAGTATCCATCATACAATGTAAATAACTCAACATTCCTAGCGTAGGAGCATCACTGACAGCTTATAGCAGGGCACAAGTCCTTGTGCCGATTCCACTTTTTTTGCCAGATTCAGTTTTCAGCATCTTCGCCCAAGTTCTTCAGTCCTCTGGTGCCTGCATACTCTTCAGCAATCCCGCCTCCAGCCACTGTCACGTATTGCTGCTTATTAGCGAATCGCCCGATCTGGTAGTACTCTTTCGTATCGCCCGTTGCCCTCAATGACCGCGTCTGCACCCAAGGATCCGAACCGCTTCCTCACGTCGTTCCATGCAGCACTCGTTGCATGTTCTTCTGAGGTGACACTTCTCATCACTCTCTCACGTATCATATCTCTCTCGATTCGGCCTGAGCCTACTAGATCCCTCGTTTTCGCTCCTCCTCCAGCACCGTTTTATCTCAGGTTATCTTCCTTGTCCTTACCGTCGACGCGTCCGTTCTTGTATCGATCACTTCACCATACCTCGTCGACGCGCACTTGTTCTACTGACACTAACCTGTCCTATCACGCATTAATCCCCGCGGTATTCTCGCTCGACACTCCCTCCCTCTTGCTACCTTCCCCTCAACTGCCTGCTGTCTGCCCGGTGTGACCTTCCCCTCTCCCATCGCGCATCGCCATCACGCATCGCATCGCGCATCGCATCGCGTGTATCCACGCGTGCCAGGCAGCAGCGTACGGCCGTTGCGTGGCTGCCAGGGTCCCAGGCGTGGACAAAGCCGTGTGCGAGAAGGAGTTTCTCCAGCTGAAGACCTGCTTCTACGCCTCCGTGCGTCCGCTCTCTTCCCTCTCGCCCACCCCCTCACCTCGCCTACCTCACCTCACCTCCGCTTCCCTCCCCTCCCCTCCCTCGCTTCCCCTCCCCTCCCTCGCTTCCCCTCCCCTCCCTCGCTTCCCCTCCCCGCCCTCGCTTCCCCTCCCGTCCCCTCCCCTCGCCTTCTCCCTGCGGCTCTTCAAATGTTCTCCTATCCGCGGCTCGTCTTTGTCCGATCTCTCTCACACGAGACCTTCTTTGCCTTTCGCTTCTGTTCTTCTGTTCTCCTTCCGCTTCTGTGCTCATTCTTTGTGCTCTAATTCCGTCGTTCCCTCGATTTCGACCGGTGCCTCTCTCCCTTCACCACACGCCTCCCTCTCGCTGCCCTGCAGCTGCGCAAGCGCAAGTAGCGGCGACTGCCGAGTCATTCCTCGCTGCTGCCACGTCAGCCACTGTCTCCAGTTACCTTTGGCGCCAACGGTGCAAGCAGCAGTGCGTGATCGCAGCTTCTTCGGGCGTGCGTTTACCATGGGGTGTAGTGAGGAGGGAGTTGTTTGCGGTGGAGTAAGATTTGTTGATATGATGACCCTGTGAAGAGGTGGCGGGGTGGGGAGGAGTGAGTGTGCGGAAGAGAGTGTGAGTTTGTGTGTGTGTGTGTGGATGTGTCCGTGTGTGTGTGTAAGAGAGAAAGCACGTGCGTGTTAGAGGGGGGAGGGAGGGCGAGAGGCCAGGAGAGAGTAGGCAGGAGAGTAAAGGGTGGGAAGCGGACAGGAGGCAGAGTAGACGTTTATTGGGTTGTCAAGAGAACCGTTCAGCTTATCTGATGCGGTCTAGTTAATGGGAAGAGAGTACCGTCCGAACCCTGCCTCCATGGTTTCAACTAGCACGCCAGTCATGTCATCCGGCGTTTCATCTGGCATGAGAACGTCCGGGAGGTCCCCTGCCATGTCACCCGCGCAGTCACCTGCCATGTCGCCAAGAAAGGGATCGAGAACCCCCAGAGAGAGGCGAGGAGGATGGGGGTCCCAACCAGCTTCACCAGCACCCTCATCAGGCACACCCACATCAGCAGCACCATCACCATCACGATCAGGGCAAGCATCCCCGTTATTCGCATCCTCGGTATCTGCACAGGAAGAGTCTAGCCCTGTGGTGCTGGGGCCGCGGCCTCTGCTGCGCTTTGACGTGCCGGGCGCGGCTGGTGTGATGTATGACGAGCCGCATGGCATCCTGCTGGTGTCGGCACATGAGAAGGTGTACGCGTGGCGTGTGCCCACTCCCGCGCAGGAGCAGCAGAGCCTCGAGCAGTACATTCAGCAGCAGCAGCAGCAGCAGCAGCAGGTGAATCATAGTCATGCTCACGCCCACGCCCACACCCCTGGTCACAGTCGCACGCACAGTGTCAGTCACAGCCATCTGCAGCCCGTGCAGCAGCCAGCGCCGCAGGTGTTTGCCATATCCGACCGCCCTGTCCTGGCCGTGCGCTTCTCCCTAGATGGCCGCATTCTTGCCGTGCAGCGATCCGCCCATGAGCTCGAACTGCTGCTCCGCCGCCCCTCCACTTCCTCCTCCTCCACTACCACCACCACCACCACTCTCTCCTCCCCTTCCTCCACACCCGCAGCTGCAGCTGCTGCCTCGTCTAGTGGTTCCGGTGCAGGAGCGTCTGGTCAGGCAGAAGCAGCACCGGGGCAAGGAGGGGAGCGGGCAGGAGATGGCATGGGCGCGAGCAGAGAACAAGCAGCGGGAAACACAGCGGGCATCGGTAGCGCGAGTGGCAGCAGGGGGGGTCCTGGCAGTGGCAGTGGTGGCGGTACAAGTGCTGGTGGTAGTGCAAGTGCTGGTGCTGGTGGCGGTGGCAGTGGTAGTGGGAGGAGTAGAAGTAGTTTGGCGGCAGAGGCTGCTATGAACGCGCCTGTTACAGTGACAGCACCGGCGCTCACGTACAGGAGTAGAAGTGCGGCAGATAAGATCCTGGGGTTCTTCTGGTCCGATTGCCCGCTCTGCGACCTCGTTGTCGTCACAACTGGGTAAGAGTCTCGGCCGGTTAGGTTGCTGATAGTGTGCTGTGCTTATCATTTAAGCCATTTACTCGTTGTCTTATCCTTTCATGATTGTGTGTATCTTTTCCACCCTATGGAATTCCTCTTATTGATTCATTCCCCTCTGCTCTCCACTCCACCATCCCTCGCCGTTTTAACCCGACATTCCCAGGGGCTTGGAGCTATTTCGAGTGGCAGCAGCAGCACCATCAGGCGGAGCAGGGGCGCCAGCATCACCACCAGCAGCAGGCGCAGGAGCAGCAGGAGCACCAGGGGCAGGGGCAGCAGCAGAGGCAGGGGGGAGCGGGTCAGGCCAGGTGGTGATGCGAGTGGTGGAGGCGTGGCGAGTGGCGATCGGGTGGTATGTGTACACGCATGAGTCACGCGTGCTCATCCTCGCTGCTGGCCCCAGATTCTGCTCGCTCACTGCCATTCAGGTATCCTCGCTCAGCACAGCACTCGGGAACGGGCCGCTTGAGGGTTTCAGTGGGTTACACTGTTACAGTGAGACAGCTTGCAAGGAGCGTGCATGACTGCCTCTGTATGTCTGTGTTTCTGCTTCCCCATTGTCAAGTTCTTCTGAGTCGACTCTAAGGTGTTGTTTCCCGTGTTGCTCTCCCTCTCTCTCGTGTTCTCTCACCCTCCAACGTGCAGTTCTCAGCAGCAGGGTTGGTGAAGCTGCCTAAGTTCACTGCTCAGCTGGGCACATCTGCTGCTCCCACCACCACGCAAGCCCACTCCCTCACTGCCAAGCCGGCCCCCCCAGTGGTGCTCGCCCCTCAGGACGTGCGCATTGCCAACATGTGAGTGTGCCTTGTTGAGTGGAGTCGGGCTGTTGATACCAGCCTCTGTTCTGCTGCTTGCTGCAGCGTATACTCCTTGCAGCACACAGGATACCTATGTGGCCACTAAGGTGGCCCCGCCAGTGGTTCTCGCCCCACAGGACGTGCGCATTGCCAACATGTGAGTGTGCTTCCTTGAGTCAGGCTTTTGAAAGCAGCGCCTGCTGCTTGCTGCAACGTATGCTCCCTGCAGCGCACGGGTCACCCATGTGGCCTTTCACACCCCGAAGAGGCCCTTCCCAGTGGTGCTCGCCCCACAGGACGGGCGCATTGCCACATGTGAGTGTGCTTTGCTGAGTCAGGCTCTTGAAAGCAGCCCCTAATCTGCCGCTCGCTACAGCCGCTGATCTCAGCCGTACAGCACACCTAGCTTCTCCCGTCTCTCACTCGTTCTTTCTGTGCCCCTCCTTCGCCCGCTCTCTCATTCTCGGATGGTTGCATGCACGCATGTGTCATGTTGCGTGCTCAGGTACGGGCGCATATACTGTGTGCAGGTGGACCGGGTCTCCTCCCTGCTGCATATCTTTCGGTTCTTTCGAGACGCCATAGTGCTGCAGGTGAGAGGGCAGAGTGCTACAAGCGAGAGGGCACCGTCATTTTCCTACCTTCACCTCCTCACCTCATCCCATCTCTCCCTCCCATCCCCTTCTTCGTAAAGCTATCTTTAGGTGTCCATCCGTTTGCCATTAACACGTGTGTTCGTGAGATGCGGAACCATCACCTGCTGCTCATGCACTTGCCGCTGCTGCCTCTCTTGAGCTTGAGCATCTCCGCTTCCCTCCAACCCCCAGGTGTCCATTCCTCTACCATCAACGCGAGTGGCAGTGAGTGTGGCGGATAATCTGCTCCTAGTGCACCTGCCAGCCATCCACCGCCTCCTCCTCTTCGACCCTCTCCTCAACCACTGGAAACCCATCTGCCCCGCCCTCGCCCCCGCCTTTGCACCGCTCCCCTCCACTCTCCCTCACTCACTCCCTCCCTCGCTCCCCCGCACTCTCTCTCGCTCCTCCACGGGCATGAGTACGAGCACGAATGCAAGCAGTAGTGGCGATGGCTCCTCTGCTCCCTCCACCCCGCGTACCGGCACCAGCAGCAGCAGCACCACCAGCAGCAGCAGCGGGGGAGGCAGTACCCGCAGCGGCAGCAGCAGCAGCAGCGGCGGGAGCGGCAGGTCACGGTCGCGGTCGAAGGTGTATGGGTCGGGGTGGGTACTGGTGAACCCGGATCTAGTGCTGGACCATGTGAAAGGCGTGCTGTGGCGCCTGCACCTCAACCTCCAGGTATTACATTGAGAGTTCACAGTGAAAACTCACACAGTACGTGCCATTCACTTCCTCCCTTGGCCATTGCTCCTCTCCACTTCCCACCCTCCCGCTTTAACACCTCCTTCCCTCCCCTCTCCTTCCCCCCCGCCCCTTCGCCACCGTCCCCCAGTCTCTGGCAGTGTGTGCAGCAGATCGGTCGTCCCTCTTCCCGTTGCTGCAGCGCCGTCGCTGCAACCGCCAACAGGTGCATGCCATCTGCCTCTCCCTCTTCTCCGACCTCCTCGCCCAACGCTCGCCCCTCCCCACTCTCTCCTCCGCCTTCTCCTCCCTGCTCTCCGCATACGCCACTGCTCTTGCCGCTGCTGCTCGCAAGCCGAAGCCCGTGCAAGAGACCCCCGCTGCTGCTGGTACTGAGGCTGGCAGCAGGAGAAGCAGCAGCAGCAGCAGCAGCAGCAGCAGCAGCACAGTTGTGACCACGCAACAGGCAGTGGGGCAGGACAGGGAAGGGACAGTAGGGGGAGCAGGAGCAGAGCAGCAGGCAGACGAAGGGGAGAGGGCAGAGCAGCAGCAGGTGGGCCCCAGTGAGAGGGCAGAGGCAGGAGGGTTCTTCCACGTGGCAGCTGAGCCCGGGGCTTCAGAAACTGCCGTATCAGGCCCTCATGGGGACTTGGGAGATGCGCTGGAAGGAAAAGGAGGTGGGGGAGCGGGAGCGGGAGCGGGAGGGGAAGTGGGGGGAAGGGAGGCAGGATCGTTGTCTCGGACCAGCTCCGTGGCTTCTGTGGGGGAGGGGCCGGGGGGTTCTGCTGCAAGGGGCGGCAGTGCGGGTGGTGGGAGGGGGGGAGAAGCAGAGGCGGCGGATCCTGCAGTGGAGGAGGATGAGGGGGTGGTGTCTCCAGAGCATCTGCTGCACCAGGTGGGTGCTCCTGCTCCTGCTCTGTCAACTACGAACATGCCTACAAACATGCGCAGATACATGCCCACACTCTCTCAAAAGATAGCATTCACAACTCTCCCCGGCCCTCCGCATTGTCTTGCATATATAGCTCCATGTAAAAGCTTGCACATGCACGCAGCAGGGCATGGTTCGTTCTTCAGGCCGCCTTGAAAGTAGCATTAGCATTCCCACCTCTCCCTGCTCCCTTCCACGGTCTCGCAGATAGAGCTTCATTTGGAAGCATGCGTGCAGCAGGGCAGCAGACACAGAAGCGCCTCCGGTGATGCCCACACAAGTGCGGGGGAGAGTAGCAGAGGGGAGACGAGAGGGGAGGGAGAGGCAGGCGGGGACGGTGGAGGAGGGGGGAAAGGGGAGGAAGAACGGGGAGGGGATGGTGGTTGTGGCGAGAAGGAGAGGGGCGGCGGTGCTGCAGCGTGTGGGGCTGTATGGCATGACAGCAGCTATACTGTGGGGGTTCTCGTGGAGCTGATCAGATGGTGAGTGTTGGCTGGTGCATTGGATGGTCGCTGTAACCAGCAGCACATTGAGATCTTCTGAATGTGTCGCTTGCTGCTAGGGCCGGCAGCGGCTGCACTGTGTAGCATTAAGTAAGGTGTCACCAACCCCATCACCCCCATCATCCCCACCACTTCCACCATCCCATCACTCCCGTCAACCCCACCACCCACCAGCATGGATGATCTACGGCTGCCTCTGCCTGCCTTCCTGCGCGCACAGTCCTGCCTCGTGCGCCTGCTCGCCTCCCACCACCTCTGGGCCGCCCTGCTGCACCTCCTCAGTGCCAAGGTCGTGTCTCCTTGCACGCCTTTCCGTCTCTCCTGCTCCATGTATCTCCTGTCTTGCCTCGTATCCCTCGTGCATGTCACGACACCCTTTTCTCCTCTGCTGTCTGGTTTCTTAGCATTTGACTCACTTCATAGTATTCCCACCTTCCCACCCAGGCATGCCCCCATGTTTCTTCGATAGCCACATCGTCTTCTCTGAAATCTCTACGTCCCCTTCTTTCCTCCTCCCATCCATGCCTCCCACTGTCCCTCCTCCCCCACTCTTCCACTGCAGCTGCTTCGCTTCTCCCCTGCCTTCGCATGGGACCTTCTGCACCTCTCCTCCTCCCCTTCTCCCCTCTCCGCCTCCTCCTCCCCCTCCCCACCCACCCTCCCCCCTGCATCACTGAGAGCGCGGGCGCGGGTGCGGAGGGAGGCAGTGCGGCTGCTGCAGGCGTGGCTGGTGGCACGGGACGCACAGGAGCAGGGCCGAGTGGCGGCACAGAGAAGGGAGGATATGGCAGCGCTGCTGCGAGGCATGGTGCTGTGCTGCGGACCGCTTGCTGCTGCGAGGTTCCTGGCTTTAACACCACCGCAGGTAGGTTCATGCTGGGCTGGAGGTTTGCTTGTGAGGGTTGGTTCTTGGTGCTTCTAGAGCTGCTGGGAGGTGCTGCGCTGGTGAGGAGCGTGAGAGGACTAAGAGAGAGGATTGTGAGGGAGGAGGGTTGCAGGGGAATTCGGTGAAGAGCGAACGGTTTTCGTGCTTCGTGTCGAATGGGTCTGTGCCTCCACTCTGCACCGTCCATCGCTCTGTTCTTCTTCCACCTGCTATACTCATTCGTCTCAAACGTCACCTTCCTTCCTGTATCGTCCAATGTTCCATTCTTCCAGGTGTTTTGGCAGCATGCCCCTTTGCTGCTCGCATGCCTATCGCACCCCCGGCACCTGCACCTGGCACCAGCTGTGTTACGATGCTTCCAGGAAGCTGTGCCCTCCTTCCAAGAAGCGCTGGCCAGCAAGGCAGGGAGCGAGGACTGAGGGGAGGGAAGGGGAGGAGGGGGAGGGGGGTGGGAGGGTTTGGAAGGGAGGGGGAGGAGGAGGGGAGGGAGACGAGCAGTTGAGGGAGGGGCTGTGTGAGAGGGGGGAGTAGGGTGGTTGTGAAACTGGTGGCAGGGTGTGAGAGAGGGACAGGAGTGGAATGCGAAGTGGGGAGAAAGGGGGAGGTGTTTGGGCCACTGTAAAATATGCATTGAAACAGTAATATTGTGAAGGGTGGGGAAATAGGAGTACCATCATTCCAACCTTGCACTAACCCAGTGCATCTGAATCTGATGCATTGTACAGCCGAGGTTTACCGTACTAGCCCCAGCTCTCGTCGTGAGTCATGACGACCTCATTTGATGTATGAGTGCATCTCTCTACCCGGTACCCTCAGTCATCCAAGGAGAAGGAAGCATATGCATTACGCTAATTAGTAATTGGAGAGCCAGGCACACTCTTGACCCTAGCGCCTTTTCTGTTATTTGTATTCACTTAGAACTGTTAGTATAGCGGAAGTAAATTTATCATGTAGACGCACCTCGTTGTATGAATGGATCTCAATTTCTCAAACCATCCGCCCCGCATGAGCCATTGAATGAATCCGAGAATGTCTTGACTGCCCGCGAGCGCAGCGCCCCACCCTCCATCCTCCTCCCTCCCCCTCGATTCGAAAGACATTCCCAACGATCCGTTCGCCCCGCACGCCTCCTCCCCCGCCTCGGCTTCGTTGACAAGGAAATCGAAAATCGAACATTCGGCGGCTCGGGTGCTCTGACAGGTTGACGGATGGAGCCTGGAGGAGCCCACCAGGTTGGGTGCCACGTCGGGTCCATCTGGGTCGTGCGGCATAAACTACGTTTGGATACGGCTCAGAAAGATGCTTTGATGTTCTTCAGCTTTTCCATAGCAATATAGAACGGTTGGGCAGGGTTTCGAGCAGAAATGAACACTGCCAGCGATACAGTATTGAAGTTTTCCCCCTGCTTCCCCTTCTCCCCTCCTCCCCACTGCCTCCTCCTTCACTCACTCAGGGTAACCACGCCCACTGCCTCATCCTTCACACACCCTCCAGCTCCCCGCTAAACCACCCACCGACACAACGGCCATCCCACATGTGATTCCCTCCCTTCCCTCCCATAGCTTCCTCCCTAGTTTCACATTCCCATCCCATCCCACATGCGGCATGCAAATCATGACATGACGTTTCGCGATCAGCTGAGCGAGAGCATTTTCTCAGCCTGGTCGTGGGAATGCATACATGCGAGCATAGCTAGCTAGGGACAATTCGGTTATCGCACGTTCAGACAATACAGAGAAAGATTCGCTGACTTTTAGTTAACTCTTATTCTCACAGTAATTGCCAGTTGCAGTTAGTAGCTCTAGCATGTCAGTACTGTGGAGCTCCTCGCGCTAGTTCTGACGTACACGCCGTCTCCTCGTCCGCGTATCGCACGATTTGTTAAAGCAGGAGGCCATTGTATGACGGCTCGACTTCAGTTCTTTTTACCTTCCAATCCGCCAAATACGCTGGTAATATAGCCGCATTTGATCCCACGTCAGCTGGCAGGATGTCTTTATACGAGTAACCTGTAGCAAGCAGCAGGTTCACCACTATCCATGGGGAATTCTCCTTCTCAGATTCGCCCGCACCGCAGTCCCTCGCTCCGCGCGCATCGGTCCCGCAGCAACAGCCAGAGTGGCAGCGCCTTACCCCCAGCCGCTCCACATGCCTCGGCCAAACCGCCGGCCCCTCTCTCCTCCTCCGCTACCGATTTCCGCCCTTCCTCTACCGCCCGCCGCCTCTTCCGCCCCTCGTTGTCGTCCAATGACGCGCATACTGTTGCCGACCACGGAAGACGGGCCTCCACCGGATTGAACACCCCCGTCGCCCGCTCGTCGTCCACGGGTGACGCAGTCGAGGGCTCGCGGACGACGGCGAGATCCGCGGAGAAACCGCTCCACGGCGCGGAGCTAGGCGCGAGCGCAAAGCGGCGCAACTCTGCGTGTTTTCCGCGCGAGGAAGCGGGGAAGGCAGCCGCACGTGGCGGCGCGCAGGATAAGCCGTTCAAAGAAGGCGCCATTGCCGAAACGAGCAGGCTACGAACAGGAGGGTCAGGACGTACAGACGGGGAAGGGCCGTTAAGCCCTAACCGCTACGAGCAGCTGCTCCCGCTCCTCACGGGGCTTACGGAGGGGGACTGGTCGGCTCTGCAGCATTGGGCGGAGAGTGGATGGCGGTAAGCCGCGCATAGATTCCGCACGTGTGACATGATTGCGCGTCTTGCCGCTTGAGGAGTGGCTCCTCTGATCGCTAATTTCATCCGGCGGTGCATGGCTGCATTCACATAGATTCCGGCTCGAAACTTCCTCGCTGTCTCCTAGTTCTCGAATCCCCTTCACTCTCATCCTCCCGCATTGCTTTTTCTCCCCTTCCTCTCCCCCATGCCCCACCCACCCGCCAACCCTTCCCTGTTACCCTGCCTTTCATCACAGGTGCGTCGAGTGCGGGGCGAGTCGACCCGTTGACGTCACATTCACTCCCCGCGTCGCCTCCCTCCTCCACCTCCTCCGCGCGCTCCCCGCGCCCCCCGCCCTCGCCCCGCTGCCCGCGCCCCCGTGCGCGCACTCCCTCTCCGCCTCCCCCTGCACGTCCGCGCGCATGTCGGTCTGGGACCGCCAGGCCAGTCTAGACTCTTCCTTAATCCCCACCACGCCGCAACATGCGCTCGAGCGGCAAGAGAGTCTTCCCGCCAGAAGCGGGACGGCGGGGCTGAGGTTTGTTAACGGGCAGCTGAGCAACTGTCCGGGGCAGGTAGAAGGTTCCAGGCGGAGGGAGGCAATACCGCGCAGGCACTCCGCTTCCGCCGGGCCGTCGAGCGCGCTCCCCTCGCCCATCGCTGCGGACTCTGCGCAAGGTGCGCGGGTTGAAGGGTATGCGGATTTGAGCGCCGTCGTTCACCCTTGCGCCAGCGACGCCGCCGCCGCCGCCGATGGTCATTGCGGGAATTTGATCACCACCGCAAGCAGCAATGCAAGCGCCATTAGCGGCGCCGCCGACGCGGCTGCTGCGGTTGCTGCTGGTGCTGCCATTACTGCTGGTGTAGGGGGCAATAATGTCACTTCCGCGGCCGGTGCAGCAACGGCCGTTGCGGGGCGGGAATCGCGCAGCAGCAGCGCGAACCTTCACCGCAGCCGCAGTCTCACCGCGCGCAAGCGCCGCCCGCATCCCCCGTTCGTCGTCGTCCCCTCGCCGCCGCGCACCGCCACCCCGCCCAGGGGGACCATTACCCCCGCCTCCGCGCGGCCCGCGCCGGCTACCACTCCCGGGCTGATTAACGTCTACATTAGTAATAGGAGTAGCGGGCTTGCGCGTAACACTCCTGCGGTCACTCCTGCGGGCTCCGCCCATGCCGCGGCCGGCTGCGCGCGGGGGCGGAGCTGGGAGGAGAGCGCGGAAGAAAGCATGGGGGAAGAGGGGTTGCGCGGAAGGGGAGCGGCAGGCGCGGAGGATGACGGCTTGCTAACGCTCCCGCTACCGCCGCTGAATGCAGCGGAATTGAAACAACTGAGCGGAAGAGCTGGTGGGGGGGAACGACTCAGCGGCAGAGGCGCGCGGAAGGACGTGCAGGAATGGGAAGTGAGCGCGCAGAGTGACGTCATTCCCGCTACACAGTCCCTGGTTTCGACTGTAAGCCAGAGCAACAATCACGGCGCCAGTCACGGCGGCAGTCACGGCACCACCACGCATCTCCTCCGCTGGGCTTCAATTGGCACGCTTCACTCCGCTTTCGGCAGCGGCGCCGGGCAGTCCGCCGCCTCTGCCAGCAGCCCCGTTAAGCTGCGGCGGAGCAAGAGCCGCGGAAAGGGCAGGACGGGGAGCGGGCGGCGGAAGGGGGAGTCCGCGCGGGTGGAGGAGCAGAGTCTGGGCGGATGCGCAGCGAGCGCAGCGCGCCGATGCCATTCTGTGGAGGAGGCGCCGGCGGCAATCGCCGCGGCGGCGCACGGACGCGACGAGTCGGGAGAGAATGGAAGCGCAGGGTTTCCACAAGGAAACGCGCGGGAGCGTGCAGTAGCGGAAGGGAGCGCGAGCGCGAGCGCGCGCGGATGGCAGGTGGAGGACTTATTTGGAATGCTCGCGGAACCGCTTGTGGCTGGCGCTACAGGTTCCGCCAACGGCGCTGGCGCGGACCCGGCGCTCTTCCGCCGCCCGTCGCTTTCCCGCGCGGCAATCGCCCGCTCCGCCAGCTGCTCTCACTTCGACTCGTACCTGTCCGTCCCCCCGCCGTCCCCCGCCACCGTTGCGCCTCTCCCGCCAGCTTCCGCCGCGCAAGCCCCGCCGGTTTCAATTGCTGCTGCCGCCGCCTTTGCCGCTGCGGCTCGTGACTACGGCGCCGCGCCGGCTGCAGTAGGAAACGCCGGCGATTGTGGAGGGGGACGCGGCGGTTATAGCGCGAGCAGCGGTGGCGGAGTGTTCCTGTCCTCTTCCGCGCACTCCTCTCCGCCCTCCTCCTCGTCGTCTTCCCCCGAGTTTCCCCCCAGCACCTGCCTTGCGATGCCCTCCCGCCGCGTGCTCCCCGCGTTCCTGCGCACGTGCGTCGTTCCGCGCGCCATGGGCAGAGTTCCGTTGCCGCTCCCCCTGCCCCTCGCGGAACCGCTGGAGAGAGAGTTCCGAGCCAACGAGCGCGCGTTCTTGCGCACCGTCGCCAGCGTTGAAGCCGCCGCGATCGCCGCCGCCGCCAGCGACGGCACCGGTGACGCGTCTGCTGAAGCTGCTGACGCATGTCGTCGCGGCGGTAGCGGCGGCGACGGCGGTTTCTGCAGCGGCGGTGACGGCCGAGAGGAAGAGGAGAGGGGCCGTGAGGAGTGGCGCATGTGGCGCGCGAGCCCGCCTGTAGGCGCCTCCCCTGCCTCTCTTCCCTCCCCCGCCTCTTCCTCCTCCCGTCGACCAATCACCAGAGCCGCGTCCTCGCCCTTCCTCTCCTCCCTCCTGCTCCACCAGCGGCAGCTGGGGCGCCAGAGCAGCGGGCTGGGCTGCAGAGAGGAGGGCATGGGCGGGCACGGGCAGCAGCAGCAGCAGCAGCAGGGTGGGGTTTGTAGCTTTGCGGAAGGGAGACCAGTTAATATGATTCCCAGGCAAGCATCCACACAGCCCAACACGCCCGTGCATCCAATGCAGGGTAACCGCACGCCACCCCATGCTGGCACGCTCGCGCATAAGCGTTCACACTCGCAGGCTGCTGCTGGTGCCGCTGGTGGTCCTGCTGGTGGTGCTGCTGGTCGCTGTAGCTCCCACTCCCACACCCCATCTCCGAGCTTTATTCGCACTGTGGGGGGCACGGATGGCAGGGGCAGCAGAGAGGCGCAGGGGGGAGGAGGGCAGGGACTGCCACGGGGAGAGGGCGTGGGGCTACTGCCGCTACACGCACATGCATCCAATGCCGCTGACCCCACCACCCTTCCCCCTCCTCCTCCTCCTGTGGGTAGGACCAGGCCGCAGTGGCCTTTCTCCCCTCCTCCTCCTGCCGCTGCTGCTGCTGCTATGCGTGGCGGTGGTGGGTTGGCGCCCGTGCTGCCTCTCTCTGTCAAGCGCACTCGATCGCTGAGTGTTGTCGAGATGACTCGCGAGCGCAACCGCTTCTTTGCAAGCTCTGCTGCCGCCGCCGCTGCTGCTGCTGGTGCTGCTGCTCCTCCTGCCTCCGCTGACAGCAGCAACAAGGCTGCGCCTAACACTACCGCCCCGTCTGGCAGCAAGGCGCCCACAACAGTCCCTATTCCTGAGTGCCCCAAACCACGCGTGGTATCAGCAGAGCGGGTGCAGCTGCACCGAGCAGCCAGTGACGTGCTCGCAGAGACCCTTCGCCTGCTTGGGTCCGCCGCTTCCCCGGCCTCCTCCGCCTCTCTGCCCGGCTCCCCTGTTTGCAGCCTGCCGGCACGGGGAATGCAGCCTACGCGGCTGGGACGGATGAAGCGTGGGAGTTCGGAAGCAGCAGGGGCAGCAGCAGGGGCAGCAGCAGGTGCAGCGGGAGGGGCAGCAGCTGGGGTGGAGGGAGAGGCAGTGGGACAAAGCAGCAGTGCAGTGGCAGCGGAAGAAGGGGCGGCAGCTGAGGGGAGTGCGGTGGTTGCAGGGGGGCCCGGTGGCAGGGGCGGTGTGGCACAGGAGCGACTGCTGGCACACGTGTCGGGAGCCTATGAGGCACTGCTGCGAGACACGGTATGCTGTGTGTGCAGGGCTGCTTGATGGGGTTGGGTGGGTTGGGGTGGGGTTGGTTGAAGATTGCTCTGTTTTAATCGTGTGAAAGTGCCAAGACAGCCATTGCACGATTGCTGTCCCCGCACTACCCATCCCTGATCTCCCGCCCCCCCCCCCCCACTTCCACCCTGATTCCCCTCCGTCTCATCCTAACATCTCCCCTCCTACTCCTCCCCACTCACCCTCCCTTCCCCTCTCCTCCTCAAACCCCCCACATGCTCACCCCCCCCTCTTCACCTATGGCAGACACCCAATGGCTCCCTGGTGGGGGAGTACCTGCTCTCAGCACTGCTCTCTCTCCTCCACTCCTCCTTTGGCTTTGTTGCCAGTGTGCTGCATAACACCGACGGCACGCCCTACATCAAGGTGAGTCAACGCTGCCCTACCCCACCCTCCCTTTTGCCGCCCTCCTCCTTCCTCCACCACCTTCCCTTCGTTCTCCTTCTTTCGCTCTCTTCCCATGCAGTCCCGCACTGCCTAACCCATCTCCCACTCCAACTCATCCCACCTCTCCCTCAACTCCCCCCCTCCCCTCCACCGAACCACCCTCCGGCCTCCACAGACGCACGCCATCTCCAACATAGCGTGGTCCCCCGGGCTGCAGCAGTGGCATGCTCGGAACGCGCAGAGCGGGCTGGTGTTTGCCAACATGAACACGCTCTTCGGCGCTCCCGTCACCTCGCGCCAGCCGGTCATCTCCAACCACCCCGCCTCCGACCCTCGCTCCTCGGGCACTCCTCCTGGGCATGCCCCTGTGCATTGCTTCCTGGGAGTGCCGCTCCTTGTCGGTGCGTGCGTGCCCTGTTTGCACGCCCCCTGTGCACACTGACCATGCATGCATGCATATAAACAACCAGCCATGCATGCATGCTTGAGTGTTGGCCTTGTCATACATGCCTCTCCATGTTGCTACATGACCACGCCTGCGCGCCACCTCACTTATAATCTGTTTTTCTTGAGTGTACTACGTGTGTGTGCGTCTATTCTGTATCCACACCATATCCTGTGTGACAAACATACCGTATGTACCATCTCACCTCTTTTCCTCCCCGTACCCCCTCACAATCACCGCCCAGGGTCGAACCTTGTTGGCGCCTACGCAGTAGCAAACCGTCCTGGGGGATACTCCTCGTCACTCTTGGACGCCCTTCATCCATTCACCCAAGCAGCAGCCAACATAATTTGGACCATTCAGCAGCGCCGCGCTTCCCCCGTGCCTCTCCCACACACTCCCGTTCCAACTGCTTGCACGGCTTCTATCCCGTATTCCCTCGTTACAAATGCACCATCTTCGCATTTGTCGGCTGAATCTTCGGGTATTTTTGACGGGCTCGCTTGTCCACATGTTGGACGGAGTCGCACGCTGGAGCCTGTTAGTCCATACATATAGGTTTCAGAACTTTCTGGTTTGCAAGATGAGCATTCAGGCCGTACATCCTGGATCGACTCTCTATTGTGAGCGTAACATACTGTACCAAGAAAATGATGAATTGGTTTGCTGGCATGGATTTTAGGGAGTTTCCGACATGGTTCTGGATTAATTAAATAGTTCTCGGATTTGATGCCTCCCAGATTTTTTACCCTTCCAGTAGCCGTATTTTCTTATATAAAGTTGGAAAAACGTGCTTTGTTGTGTGATGACTGGGCTGACACTTCCGTGGCAAGAATAGGAATTACGCAGAAGCGTATAGCGCGGAAAGTTTGAAAGTCAACTTTTGAATTTTGAAACCAGCCAGTCACGCACGATTAGCCGACTGACCCATTCCCAGGGACCATGATGATATCAAGCCCAACACAAAGCTATGCAACTGAAATACAGAGCTCACGCCGACGAATCACGAACCACGAATCCGTCTGCTGTTGCTGCTGTCGCCCCGCAGCTTCTTGTTCACGCCACAACCAGAAACCTTATCCAATTTCCATAAACGTTCTCTCCCCACTTTCCAAAGCACAAACCATAGTTGGAGTCGCCAATAGTAGGGCTTGACATGCTCCCGCACTGCCAATAGAATCTCTTTCACGTTCGTCCTGTTCTTCCTCATTCGTTTGTTGCAGCTGCACTAAACTATCTCTTACGAGCTAGCGATCATGCGCGACGATCACGGCGGAGGGTCGTCCCTCCTGAAGCGCAAGTCCAAGTCTTTCCTCACGGTAGCAGCCCACGAGCCGGGCCTATGCAGCATTCTTTTCGATCTTGACGGCCGGAACATTCTAACAGCCGGCGCCGACAATCAGGTCAAACTGTTCCCCATCAAGCTGTCCAGCGCGCCGTCCGGCGGCGACGGCGCGCCGAGTCTGGGCGATCCGCGGACGGTGCGCGTGGAGCATAAGGGACCGATGACGACGCTGGCGATGAGTCCCATGGGCGATAAGTTCGCCACGGCTGCGGAGGACCACACTGTGAAACTACACTCGTATCCTGGTACGAAAGTGTAACTGTATCGATATGTGCCCGTGTGACTGCAGCTGTATTTTGGAGTCGACCCTGGGAGGCTGAGTTTGCAGTTTAACTCTTGTTATTCAACCGCCACAGCGAATTGCTTTTGTCCCTGCGTGTCTCACACCGCATACCTTTTTTCGCAGCTGCGCGGTTCGAGAGCAACGTGACTCGGTTCACTCTTCCCATCCGCGCGCTCGCATTCAACGTCTCGGGCGGGCTTCTCGCGGCGGCGGGCGACGACGAGGGCATTAAAGTCATATCCACCGTCGATTCCTCTATCGTCTCCGTGCTCAAGGTGGGAAACCCCATTCACTATTCTCTATCGTCGATCCCCTGCACTCCTTCACTATGGTTTATCGAGCATGGCCAGTCGTTTCGTTGTGCTCCTCCAGTAACAAGGCATTTCGTAATCGTCGAGTCCTTCCAGTCATGGCTATGAAGCCCTTGAATAAGTAATTTAGCATGTTCTACCCACCATTGTCCCTGGACCGCCCGCCATATCCTCAGGGTCACGACGCGCCCGTGCTGAGCGTGGCGTTCGACCCGAAGAACGAGCTGCTTGCGTCGTGCGACGCGGACGGGACCGTCATCATTTGGAGCATATCCGAGGCTAAGGTGAGCCCACGCACGCTTACGCGAGCAGCAGCACACTCGACTCCTAAGTACGCCGCCAGGCTCTAAACCTGGCGTGTCTATCTCGCTGCGCGGAGCGAGGCTCCCAGTTTACGCTTCTATGTCGCCGCCTGGAGTCCAGGCTGTCCGTGAGTACCTGCGTTTTTCCAGATTGTAACTCCGCGCTTAGTTAAGTCTCGCGTTGCATGATTCATCTCCTAACACTTGGTCCTAAGCGCCTGAGTTTCGACCCTTCAAACGTGGATTGTCTTTATTTTCCCGCCCGTCTCTCACCACCAACCCCGTATCCCCGCCCAGCCTCTCCATACGCTGCGCGGCGTCGCCCCCGTGATCGACGCGGTGGCGACGGAGGAGGAGGCGGACGGCGCGGCGGCAGCGGTGGCGGGGCGGAGCGCCGTGGCGTGGCACCCAGACGGCAGCTTCCTGGCGGCGCCCGGTACTGACTGCGACGTGATCTGCTACGACCGCGACACGGCTGACGTCATGCTCACGCTGAAGGTGGGAACTGGTTTTGGCTTGACTTGAACCACTCTGCGTGCCTGTGTTCCGCCGCTCCTTGTCTCCGCTCTCCTTCCCCTCCACCCTTATTTCGTTCTCCCGTGTTCCGTTCTCCGCAACTCCCTTTTCCCGTCAGGGTGTGCACAAGTCTCGTGTCGCTGTTCTCGCATGGTGCCCCAGCGGCCGTTACTTAGCGACGGCCGGCGCGGCGGATGGCACGGTGGCGGCATGGGACGTGGAGGCGGCGGACGGCTCGTTCGATCTGGACGTGTGCCGCGTCGATGCCGGCGCGCCCATTACGGGCCTGCAATGGAGCCCCGCGGATAACGCGATCGCCGCCATTGATTGCGCCGGCTGCTGCGGCGTGTGGCACGGCCCCGTGCCGCCCCACATGGCTGCGCCGAACGCGGCGCCGCAGTGGGGAGGGGCGGGCATCGAGCAGCAGAAAGAGGGTGAGCGGGGGTAATGGGGGAGTGGGAGGGGGTAAAAGGGGAAAAGGGAAAAAAATGGGAAAAGGAGGAAAAGGGAAGAGGAACGGAAGGGCTGGCTGGTGAGCGGAATTTCAAACAGCAAGCGCAGCAAGGGAGATAACGAGAAGGGATGGGGCTTTGTGATTGGCGCGGCCTGACGGACATGTGGTCTGCAGCGATGGAGCTTGAGAACCTGCCATTATGCGCTCGCACCTGTCTCATTATACAATCTCCGTATCCTTTCCGTCCCTAACCTTCCCCTCACCCCCCCTGTCCCTTCACTCTTCTCCGGATCCCCCCGCCCTTTACACCCAGCCCGCCGTACTCGGGAGGAGCTGTTCCGATTTGATGACGCGCCCGGCGCGGCAGGTGGCGGAAGCGGAAATTCGGGGCAGGCGGGCGGAGAGGGCAGCGGGGGGGCGCAGGAGGTGTGGGAGGACGACCTTGAGAATGACGACGGGCGCAGGGGGAAGGGGAAGTGTGGAAGCAGGGGCGGGGACGGGGAGGGGGACGCGGGAGCGGGATCAGGAGGAGAGGAGGAGAGGGAGGGGGGGTTTCGCGCTCATGCGGGGAGGAGGAGAGGTGGGGGAGGGGCACGACACGTGGTGGAGGATGGGAGTGACAGGGAGGACGAAGTGGGCGGGTGGGATGGGGAGAGAGAGGAGGAGCGGAAGGGGGGCGGGAAGAGAGATGGCGGAAGGGGGAGTGGGGGGAAGGGGCACGTGAGCCGTGGGGAGAGGAAGGGGAGCGTTGCTGTGGCTGCCCCGGTGGTGTTCATGCAGGTGGGATGATGGTGGGGGGGTTTTCAGTGGTAGCTCAAGGCGGTTTGCTTCTTTCTGGTGTTTTGATTTGATTGCATTCCCGGTTTTGTCAGCACAGCAGTGTTGTTGCTCCCAGTGGCACTTGCTGTCATTATGTCGACTCTCAACAATCCTTAAAGCCACTCTCCACTACCTATTCCGCCTTTATTCCCTGTTCTTTCCGTCACCCCTTTAGTCAGTCCCCTATGCCAACCTTCTATATCCTAACCCATGTAAACCATTTCAAGTTTTCCTCTTCCCGCTCCTCCCCCCAAGCCCCCCTAAACACTTGACCAACCCCAAAATCCTCAACTCTTTCTCCCCCATTTCCCCCCCATCCAATCTTCCTCCGCTTCACCCTCCCCGTTCCCTAACCATTCTCCCAGCCGCCGTTCCAACCCGGGTCAACCACGCTCACAGCAGCAGCGGGCGGCAGCAGCGCGGAGGGGGAGGAGGGTGTGGAGGGGCCGGGGGGGGTGCGACTGCGGTATCTGGCATACGACATGCTGGGGCGGGTTACCACTCGCATGGACGCAGAGAGCGATACAGCACACGTGGAGGTGAGTGGGCTGCAATTGTTGCTGCACTGCACGCCCATGATGGCAGCAGTGACACGTGTGCCAGCGCCTCAAGAACCTATATGTTGACAGCAAGGCCTTCTTGGTATCGTTTTCACTCGGTTCTTCCCCTACTGTCCCTTGCGTCCCGTGTCTCGCTGCCAGGTGGACTTCCATGACACGTCAGCAGCAGTGACACGTGTGCCAGCGCTGACGGACTACTACGGGTGCACCATGGGCGTGCTGGGGGAGAGGGGGTACGCGCTCGCCTCGCCTGCGCGCGCCAAGCAGCCTTCCACCATTCTCTTCCGCCCCTTCACCTCCTGGGCTCCCTCCTCCGATGTATGTTTTTGCCCACTCACTTGTGCCTGCGCGCTCACTTGCGTGGACACTCACTGCTGGTACTCATTGTGCTATTGACCTCTCGTATCCTCTCATCGTCTCCGCATCACGTCAATCACATCTCTCCTCATTCCACTCCCCCATCCCCCCCTCTTCCTCTTCCTCTTCCCCTTCCTCTTCCCCTTCCCCTTCCGCTTCCCCTTCCCCTTCCTCCTCCCCCCTTCTTTCCCCCCAGTGGTCGGTGCGCCTGCCAGCAGGGGAGGAGGTGACAGCCATAGCCGTGGGCCGCAAGTGGGTGGCGGCGGCAACTTCCCGGAACTTTCTGCGAATCTTCTCGGACACGGGGCTGCAGCGTGCAATAGTGTCACTGGAGGGTCCTGTGGTGGCCATGGCGGGGCAGGGCGCGTTCCTTGCTATTGCCTTCCTTGCCGCAGGGCCGCACCCTGATGGTCACCAGGTCGGTGGGGTTTCTGTGTGGATGGGTGGGTATGGGCAGGGGTGGGTGTGGGAGGGTGGGTATGGGCAGAGGTGGGTGTGGGCGGATTTGTGGATGGGTGTGGGTGGGTGCGTGTGAGCGTGCCTGCACCTCTTTCTGACTCGCTTTCTCATCCCTTTACCCCCCCCCCCCCCCCCCCCCTTTTTTTGCGCTGTGGGCGACTCTGTTTACGCACTGTGTTCCTTTACCACGCCCCGCTCTCCTTTCCCCTTCTCCAGTCTCTCTGAAAGAAGCACACACTTCTCGCCCCCCTGCCCTTCCCCATCAGGCCATGCATCTGCTGCTCCTGGACATGCATTCATCCGCCCTGCGCCTGCGCACGCCCATCGCCCTCTCCCCCTGCGCCTCCCTCGCCTGGCTCGGCTTCTCCACCATCTCTTCTGACCCCTCTGCACCACTCCACACCACCGTGCCAACAGTTGCCACATACGATTCCCAGGTGAGTAGCGCCTGTTCCCAGGATCCGTGACTTGGCTGCTGGGAAGGGAAACTTGATGAAGGGCGGTGGTGGAAGGGGAGGGTTAGTGGGGCTCCTCTGTTTCCAGAATCAGGATCACTGTTATGTGTATCTCTGACTGTTTATGTGTAGACTCCCTATATTCTTCACTTCAGTATTTTCTCTAAACCGTAAACCCTACTTGCTGAACCCCAAGCCCAAGCCCTTGATGTCCGACTTTCGTGTCTCGACTTGTCTCAAAACGTGACCTCCGCTTCCATTTACTCCCAACCATCCTCCTCCTGTATTCTGCAGGGCGTGGTTCGCATTCTCTCTCCGGACTTTGGTGGCTGCTGGATGCCCATATTCAGGTGCGCCCCTGCTCCTGTGCCTCCCCACTGCACTGCACACGTTCGGATATGCATGCTCCACCCTCCAACCTCCAAGCACACTTGCTTACTATAGACTGTGTAACTGTGTATGTAGTAGTTTTGTCGATGCACCCTTTTTTCCCTGACGTCTGAGTCAAATGAAGCCCACCCCACCCCACCCCACTCCACCACACCCCATTCGGCCCCACCCTACTGCACCCCACCCCACCACACCGTACTGCAGTGTGAGTGCATCGCCTACGAGTGAGTCGCACCGGCTGTGGATGGTGGGGCTGGACCTCCGGGAGCAAGCCATCTTCTTCATCGTCTGCACCACTGCCTGCCCACAACCCTCGGTACGGCATGATGGGGGCGCGGATGCTTGCTGCTTGCTGCTTGCTTGCTTTCATTAGTCGTAATTAGAATCGGAGATCTCAGGGAGCAGGCCATATTTTGTCATCGGCTGCATGCCTGCCGATTAAGAAAACGTGAAGCAATTACAATTCCCTCTTTCATTATGGTTTCCACACCCTTCCCCCTCCTCCCTCTCCTTACCCCTCCCTTCCCCCTCCCTTCCCCAGGTGTTCCCCCGGCCTGTACTATCGGAGATGCCTCTGGCGCTGCCCCTAGCCCTGTCAGACCTTGCAGCAGCTGACTCTCTCCAGGCCGACCTCCTGCGCTCAGCACTCGCCACTGCACACGTGAGTGGCGTGTAGGTGGGCTATGGCTTTGTTTGAGGTGACTTACAACGTGGAATCCTGCATATAGTGCACGCCCTTCCACTGCGCATATGAGTGCAGCAGCATGGGATGCATGCATGTGGACCGTGTGACGCTGATTATTCGTCTCCATTCCCCTCTCCATCCACTACCATGACGGTTAAGGTACCATTGCAACAGGCTCCGCCCATTAACCAATCCACCAGCTTGCCATCTAGACAATGAATGAACCGACCCCTACTTCCTCCCGACCCCCCTGTTCCCTCTTAATTTCTTCCCCCAGGTGCGGGCAGTGGCGGACGAGGCGTTGCAGATGGGGGAGCAGGGGGCGCTGGCGGCAGCAGAGGACGAGGAGGAGCTGCTGAAGCTCGAGGCAGAGAGGGACAAGACGCTTCTGCGCCTGCTCGTCGCTGCTGCTAAAGGTACCCCTCCTTTCTTATGCCTCCTGCCTCCTGCTGTGTCGTAACCGTTGTTACTCCTTCACTCCCTCCTGCCTAGCAGTTGCACCCTCGTCTAACCCCCCACCCGCCACTTTCCCACCATTGCTCGTTCTAAGCTCTGTGGTCAACATTCGTCCCCTCTACCCGTTCGTTCCCACACATTTCTCTCGTCCCTTCTGCACATCCCCACCACTCCTCCACAACCCCCTCACTTTTGTCCCTCTCCCCCCTGCCCCCCCCCCCTTCCGCATCCACCAGGGGACAAGCTAGAGCGGGCAATGGAGCTGGGAACAATGCTGTCGCTGAGGAAGAGCCTGCAGGGCGCTGTCAAGCTCACCTCCGCACTGCGCCTCCCCGTGCTCGCTGAACGCCTGCACTTGCTGCTGCAGGTCAGTGAGTGGTGGAGTGCGGTGGTCAGGGGTGGGCTGAGTAGTTATGTGCTTCATGCTGCTGTTGGGATGCAGCATCGGGTTATGGGAGGGAGAGGGTGGTCAGGGCTGGTGTTAGTTTCCTGAGGGTGAGGGGACAGTGACTACTTACCGAGTGATCGCAGTGAAACATATGTTTCCGTGTCTGTCCACTGCATGCGTCTGTGTTTCTTGTCAGGAGCGCTTGCGAGCTGAGGAAGACGAGCAGAGGCTTCAGCAACGGAAGGAGCAGCAGCAGCAGCGAATAACACAAACGCGAGTTTTTCCCGTCCCACCAAGCAGTGCCACTCGTTCTCAGCCACAGCAGCCACAGCCACAGCAGCCAGAACCACAGCAGCCTGTAAGTCCGCCTCGAAAGGAGCGGCTTTGTCCCGAGCCCCCTCCCTCCACACAGAAGAGTGCAGCCGCAGCATTGGCCCCGATGTTTGTCAAGAAGGGCCCAGGAGCAAGTCAGAAAGCAGCAGCAGGTGGACAGAAGAACGTGAAAGTGAATCCCAAGGGCTCTGATGCTCCTGCTGCTGGAGATTGCTCCAGCCCTCAATCGGCTGCCAAAGGCACTGCCACGGACATTAGTGCTAGAGGCGAGGAGGCAGGTGCTGGTGATGCAGGCGGGGCAAAGCCACCTGCAAGCAGTGTCAAGCCGTGTAACCCGTTTGGGAAGAAACCTGGAGGTGCAGTGGCAGCCAGTGGGGTTGAAGGCTCTGTGTTGGATTCTGTCAGGCATATGCAACAGGCAGAAGGTGCGTTGAAGGATGTCAAATCAGGAGATGGAGCGGGGCCGAAACGAGCATCTGTGGTGTCTGGAGCCAGGGCAGTTGGAGCCAAACGATCCAAGATAAAGTAGTAGTTTGGCAGAATATATGAATTTGAAGATCATATATAGTGCGATTGTCGAATGACAAATGAATTTTACGATTTTAGCTCAGTAGTGTAGATAGAACATATAAAGTACTAGGGACGTTAGGTATTGGTGCAGTCAAAGTAACAGTACATGTGCTGAAACAGTGCACTCCAAACATTCTCTGCATCGGGGTTTGCAGCATTGTCTCGACCAATCGACTCGAAGCATCACGAACTGTATCTCACTGTCACACTCGTCATAAGCACGCGTGACCAGTTCTCCCATCATCTCTGGGGGTCCCCAGCAGCTGGCTCGCAACCATTCGGTGTGTATACAACGTGTGGCCCTGCAACCAATCAAACAACACTCGGCGCTTCCTAGGGTTTGCTCCACCTCTCTCTGCTCTCCTCCACTCCCCTCCCCTCCCTCTGCCTGCTGCGTGCGACCTTGACCTCTTACCTCCAGGTTAGCGCCGCTTAAAAACTATGGCTGCCCTTACTTGCCGTTGCAATGACGCAATAAAGACTAGCTCTGACGTGGAATGTCCTTGATCCGGTTGATATTTTCTTAGTGTCTTCCGGTTTTAGGCTTCCTAGTCTGAACCTTGTCTCTCCCGTTTTATGGCAGGTTATCCTGTTGTCTCGTTTCGTGTTTTTCTAGGGGTGTTGCCATCACTGCGCGCCGCGGTCCTTGACTTACGACCTGTTAACAATAGCAAAATAGGCCGCTTAGCCCTGCACATCCATGGCTACACATCCAGGTAAGAAGTCCATGTCGTTGTTTTTTTTGTTGGAATGTCGTTTCTTTGCTAGCCTCCAGTCTTCCCGTTTGTCCCATTTTTTAACGTACTTGTTACACCTACTCAGATGCGATATCTTGTTCTTCTGCCATGCACTTGCTCTTTCATAGTCCCCTTTCTCACTCTGTTTCTCGTTCCTGTTTTTACATCTACAAAACTCTCACATGGTTCGCAGGGGCTGTCATGGCTGCAGTGGCACATGAAGATCACCAAAATCAGCAAAATATTGCAGCCGCTGCGGCAGCAGCGGCAGCGGCAGCAGCAGCCGGTTCCGGAATGCCAGGCGGACACACTGAATACATTACCATACCGCATGTATCCGTCGACCTTGGTTCAGCCGCTCTTGTACGCTCACTGCCCACATGTGACCTTCTAAATCAGCGTTTGTTTTCATTTTTTGCTCACTTTAAAACGCGTTCCTTGCTGGCAATCTTTGTGACCCTCTCTGGTGTACTTGTCTTTTGAGCTATCACGACACGATGGTGTCCAACACTAATGGCATGTTCGACTCCGTTTGTGTGTGTTTCTTTGTGCATTGGCGGGGGCTGGGTCTGGTTGGCGTGAATGTTGTTGGGCTGTCGTTTGCGATCACTTTTTGATTTATTTTTTACAGGCCGCACAACACGTTGCTTATCCTTATGCGACAACGGACCCGTATTATGGAAACATAGTGACATTTGGCTCTCAGGCTCTGGTAATATCATTGTCCGCCCGTGTTAATCTTGAATATTTACCATTCCGTCCTTCTTTCGTTTTAGTATCGTTTTTCCCTCAAGCAAGATCCAGTTTTTAGATGTTGTGTTTCTGTCATAATATTTTCCAATATGGCTCTTACGTTCTTCCTTTGCTATCAGATGGCACCACATTTGTTAGGGATGCAGCAGCAAGCTCGCATGGCGCTGCCGTCAGAGATTGTGGAGGAGGAGCCAGTGTATGTCAACGCCAAGCAATATCATGGCATTCTGCGCCGCCGCCAGGCTCGGGCGAAAGCAGAGGCAGAGAATAGGCTCGTCAAGGCGCGCAAGGTCGGTTACAACCTTAGGAGTAGTTGCTGGTGGCGTGCATGTGTGGGGGGGCAGACTTTGATGAGTGGTTGAATATAGAGAGAATGGAATGGGAGTCAAGAGGGTTGGGAGATTGTGTCATGTTTCGTGTTTCTAGATTAGGGGTTGCGTCAACTGACTTTGCTCCTTGGCCGTTAACTTAATTCTGTTACATCTCTGTTACTGTTTTTTGTTTGTGCTCGTTTCCTTCCGTTGCAGCCTTATCTTCACGAGTCACGGCACCAGCATGCGTTGAGGCGTGCTCGTGGCTGTGGTGGTCGCTTCCTAAACACGAAACAACTGGAAGAGCTGGCGAGGAAAGAAAATGGCGAGTCAGCCGACGATCAGAACTCGGCTGGTAAAGACGAGGGCAAAAAAAAGCCCAAGCGCGCGAATCGACGCCCTCCCGCTTCGTCCCAGAAACGCGTTTCCGTGCAGCAAGCAATTGACAGTGGAAACGACAAGCAGGATGTGTCAGGAAGCAGCGATGACATCAGCGATTCCCCTGGTACTGGAACAAGCAACGAGGAACTCTCACGGCCTTCAGGCACTGCTGCTGGAGGCATCAACAGTGGCGCGATCAGTGGTTACCAGCTTCTGGACAGCGGTGCTCCCAGCGTGGCAGCAGGTGCGTCTGCCACAGGAGGGAACCCTGCCACTGATGCTGCTGGGATGGCTGCTCAAGAGGCTGCGGCACAGCAGTTTATGATGAACAGCTTGCAGCAGCACCAGCAGCAGATTCAGTTGCAGCAGCAGCAACAGCAGCAGCAACAGCAGCAGCAGCAGCAGCAGCAGCAGCAGGAGCAGCAACAGCAGCAGCTGCAGCAAGCAGCTCAGCAGCAACAGCAGTTACAGCAAGCAGCTCAGCAGCAACAACAGCAGTCACAGCAGCAGCAGCAGCAACAGATTGCTGGATTTGATCTAGGCTTTGCAGGAGCAATGGGTTTCTACCCCTTCAGCGGAGTTGGCAACTTCCCTGGTGCAACCATGGCGTCGGCTCAAGCGTTTCAGCAGCACACGGGCCAGCAGCATGCCTTCCACCCAACTGGCGCCCCTGCTGCCTTCCATCATGTGTCTGCGTTCCACCCAATCAATGCAGGCACTGACGCTGCTAGTGCTGCAGCAGCCGCTGCTGCAAGGAATGCTGCTGCTGCTGCAACGTACCCTGGGGGCCACTCGGATGGCAAGTCGTGAATGTTCCATGACTGGTTGATGAGCTCACAGGGAGTTATGTTGCTGGTATTGTGATTGTAACAATAATGGGGAGGGGAAGCCTTTGCATCCACAGCAATTGGGTGGTCCGGCACATGCATCCACAGCAATTGGGTGGTCCGGCACACCAAAGGCTGGGAAGGGCCAACTGGTTTGGAGGACCGTTGGACAAGTCCAAGTGAAAACAAGTCTACAGTGGTTCTCAAGCAGCGACATGCAGCCGTGGTGGGGTAATGCCGATTCTTTATATGGTACCTCTCTTCTCTCCGTTATCCCTCTCTGCCCGCTATGCTTATCTAGTGCTTTGCTATGGCTGGACTACTTCCAGTTATTTGGGGTTGTATGTGTTGGGTGGGTTGGGTTGGGTTGACACTGGGAATGCTGTGTTCAGGGCCTGCTGAGCTGGTTGGTAATGAAAGCAGCAGCTGGGCGGAGTGCTGGTTGCACCAGTATGTCCTTCCCTTATGTGCATAAACGGCATTGCCACTATTTCTTGTAAGGCGTGTGCGCCTGCTTGATCCCTGTGATAGTAATGTAGCATATCTACCCTTCATGCCTCATAACTTTTTGGACAGTGCTCCTGGTAATGTCTTGCTGCACGCTGAAGCATACAGGGAAGTTTTGCTTTCCAATTCAAGATGGATGGATGAAGCTCCTACACAAAAAAATGTTCGAACTTACTCTCCACTATGTAGCCATTGAATCTGGGCTGGAATGAAGGTCATACCTGTATGGTTGGAGGGGGCTGACAGGCGAAACTGTACAAAATGCTGGCGAACATTCCGTATTTGAGGAAGGTTGTCGCGAAGGTGCAAGAAGCTCGTTTCAGTTTTGGGAGTGGCGGTTCGGCGAAATTCTTTCATGTTTCAAGGCCCAGCCAGCTGTCGCGCAGATATGTAGAGTGTGCAGAGTTACCGTTACAGCTGTGCTCCCAAACCCCAGATGAGCGTTCGGCAAAGTTCGTCACTCTTCAGGCCAGAGAGAGAATGAGACCCGAGAACAACGTGACGAAACAAACTTCTCAAGGAGGATTTCGCGAACAGGTCGTTTGCGAAATCTTGTTTAAAACCGGAGTCTCAAGTATCCCGAAGTTGCCTCATCCTTCCTACCTTTGGTTGGGTCACAAAGTCCAACCAAGCTTCCTACCTTAGGTTTTGTCACTAAGTCCAACCAACCTTCCTACCTTTGAAACCTGTGGACCCTGGGTTTTAACAAAGGCATGGCTCGTTTCAAGTGCTTGCGCTGACCCTGGGAGTTCACGAGCTTATTCAGCCTGGATTATCCAGGCTGAAGGTCTGTCAAGCAGCATGGTAGACATCAATACCATTCTGATTAGTCAACTCTTGTATGCTCCGACTAACCTGCGTCTTCAAGTTCACACACCGTCCCGTACTCATTTTGCGGAAAGATGTATTACCTGCGCTGGAAACGTGCACTTGGCAACAGCCTGATTCCCTTGACCACCTGAAATGGCAATACTGTTTCCCGTCTTCTCGCTACCCTCCCTTCAGCACTTATAGCGTGCGTGGTCATTCACCCGCCGACTCGTAACCTTTGGTTTTCGTAACAATCTCGAAGCTTCCGAGTTCAGAGCGAACCCAGCAGCATGTCGTCGCCTCCACCAGAGCTCATCCTAGACGTGGTTCTAGTTCCTGTCGGCTTGGCGGTTCTATTACTGTACAACATAGTGCTATATATGCGAGTAAAGCAGAACCCCATGAAGACTGTAATCGGCGTAAATCATTTGAATCGGCGAGCTTGGGTGTACAGTATTATGAAGGTGAGTGTTCGAACAACCGTCGTATTCGTCGCTGCTAAGAGAGGGAGACTCGGGAAAGCAGTATGCGTGCTACTGGTACATGCGAGGCCTGACATGATCGTTCTCCGTCCGACCCTGCCGCGCTCTCATTCCCACTCGACGTAATTTTCATAAAATTCTATGTGCCTTCCATTGTGAAATTGAATTACCCACATTTAATCTGGAAGCTGATTTTCCTCACGCACAACCCACTGATGGTACCAATCGTTCGTCCGGACCCGTTCATGATTCATCCACCATTTGCGTCCAAAAGCAGGATGTTCGGAAAGAACAAGACCTATGCAAAGCCCTCTCTGGCTCAGGGATGCCTCTCAATCAAATCCATGTCAATTTCGACTTTCTCAGTTGCAACTCTTTCAACCCTATCTGATCCAAGCACGGTGCACCCCCCTCCTCCTCCCCCCGCCCCCCCGTCCCAATTCTCCCTTCCTCCACCCTGGGCATGATCACTTTTTTTCTTAATCTTTTGGTACACACCTCAAAAATCACCCACCTCTCTCCCCCGTCCGCCATCAGGACGTGGACAAGAAGAGCATTCTGGCAGTGCAGACGCTGCGCAACCACATCATGGCGTCAACGCTCCTTGCCACCACGGCCATCATCCTCTCCTCGGGCATCGCCGCCTTCATCACCTCAGCAGCCACGGCGGACGTCAAGGCGTCCGTGTTTGCAGTCACGCTGGGGTCCAGAGCGCCGGCTGTTGTGGCCATCAAGTTCATCTCCATCTTCCTCTGCTTCCTCTTCGCTTTCGTCTGCCATGTCCAGGTGATTTTTTGTGGTTTGTTTTCCACAATATAACTTGTTTACAGAGTTTGTTGTCATGTTGATCAGGGTTTTCAGTACTATGAAAGTGTGTGGGGGTACTTCATCCCAGCACACCCTTCTAGCCTGCCTCCTCGTCTTGCCATATCAATCCAGCAGTCTCTTATCAGAATCTGTGCATCCCCATCCCATTTCCCTTTCCGACTTTCTCACCCCTCCGCCCTCTCCCATCCCATTTCCCACCAACGCACACCCGCCTGCAGTCCATCCGCTACACCAACCACGTCAACTTCCTCATCAACATCCCCTTGGGCCCGCAAGCTCAGGGCTTGTCCCCAGACTACGTGGCAGCAGTGCTGGCACGTGGCAGCAACTTCTACACCATCGGCACACGCGCCTTCTACTGTGCCTTCCCTCTCCTGCTCTGGCTGTTCGGCCCCATCCCCATGCTGCTCTCCTCCCTGCTGCTGGTTGTCATGCTCTACCATTTCGACACTGCCAAGGGGTTTATGATCTCGCTGGATCCGCCAGAGGGGATTGGGGTGGAAGAGGGGAGTGTAGGGGGGAGCAGACGCGGGAGCAGAGTGGGGGAGAGTAGGAGGTCGGAGGAAGGAGGTAGTGGGACTGTGGTGGATATGGGGAGGGGGTTAGAAGAAGCTGAGGCAGGCGGGGTGGGGCAAGGGATGGGGTTGGTGGGAGGGAGCGACGGGTTGACAGCGATGGTGGTGACAGGGACAGGCAGTGTGCGAAGCAGTAGAGTGGCAGATGGCAGATTAGGAGATGATGGGGAGGGAGGTGGGGTAGCGATGGCGCAGGGGAATGGGGAGGTAGGAGTGAGAAACCGGAGAGAGGAGAGTGGTGGTGGAGTGGATGTGCGACTTGTCTTCTAAGCATCTGTGGGGATTGAGCAATGGGAGAGAGTGAGTGACCAGGAGAATGATGGCAACACTTGGCATCATGAAGGCAACCATGCAGCACATTGCTTGCATGCGAGTACATACCGGTAAATACGGAAACGTTTCAGTTTCCAGGACTGGATAAGTGGGGGGAATTGACGGAGTGACAAACAGCAGCTCGGCAGCAGCATCAACAGCAGTAGTGATGAGAAGCCCATTCAGGCTGATGAGGCGACCTGCACTGCAGCCAACTGTGCCTGGCCTGCTGCACCATCCCCTGTGCGAATATCATTCTTGGGCAAGGCACTGGAGTTGCGTGCTGATCTGGTTAGAACCCTTCATTATTCTTCATGTATGCATTGGACATAACGAGGTCGCTTCTATGTACAGTGCAACATTTTTGTACAGTTCAGTTGAGTTGTACAGCATCACATGATAGCAGAATCATGTCCTACAGAATATGAGCGCATGCTATATACAACTAACACAGTATTCTGCACATGAAAAGCTTTACATTACCAATGATGCTGGTATCAGTACCGTACATCAGGCCATCATTGCCATTAACTCCTCATTGCACTCATTGCCTCCCTCTCGCCCGCTCGCTTTCAAGTGCCACCCAGAGCGTCGCCCCCACCATCAGCGCCCCCCCAACCCATGTCGCAGCATCCGGAGCGCCTGACTGGCCGATAGCCCAGCCAATGAGCGAGCCGAGCGGTGGCTCTACAGTGATTGCGATGGCGATGACAAGAGGCGTGGTGTAGCGCAGGAGAGCGTTGAGGCCTGTGTGACCCATGTACCCGGGGCCCAGGGCGAGGAAGAGCGTGGGTGCGAGGAACGGGGGAGAGAGCCAGGCCAGGGGTTGCCATGCTGTGCAGTGGGAGGGTGGTGGCGGAGGAGGCAGATGCAGAGGTGGGGATGGGGGTGGGGGCAGTGGTTGCAGTGGTTGTGGAGCTATCAGTAGTGCTTCTCCTGCACTTGCTCCTGATCTTGCTCCTGCTCTTGACGCCATCCCCACCTCGGCTCCTGCCACAACTGCTGCCCATGATGCCATGCCTGGTACCTGCACTCCTGCTGTTGTTGTTCCTGCTATTGTTCCTGCAGGAGCAGCATGTGCTGTGCTGGCATGGGGAGGGCATGCATGCGAGGGGTCTACGAGGGGTGTGAGGCAGGCAGCAGCAGCGAGCATGATTCCAGCAGCTGCAGTCACAGGCAGGGCGTAGAGATGCAGAGGGAGGGACTTGCGCACTCTCCCTCCCACCCACACATACACCACGAATGCTGCTGCCGCTAGCAGTGCTGCCACATCCCCTTGCACAGACACAGCATCATCATCATCATTACCACCACCAAGGAAACCACCGTTACCAAAACCGCCACCACTACCGTTACCACCAATACCACCGCTGCTGCTTTCAGCACCAGCACCAGAAGCACTTCCCACGCCTATCAAACTCCCGGCAGCACCATTACTGCCCCCCCCAGCTCCCGCACTTCCCCCCAGCGCCACCACCGCCGCGCCCACCCCCCCCAGCAGCGTCCCCAGCGCCTCTGCGCGCGAGAGGGGCGCGCCTGAGACGAGATGCGCGAGGGCGAGGAGGAGCGGGGGCGTGGAGACGAAGAGGAGGGAGTGCGCGAGGGAGGTGAGCCGCAGGGAGAGGATCCAGAGCGCGAAATGGAGGGCGAGCGCGCAGGCGGAGAGGAGGAGGAGGAGGAAGAGGGTGAGCGGAGGGGGGAGTGGAGGGGAGGGGAGATGCTGCTGCTGCTCGATTTCAGGAATATCGGGATCCTCCTCGGGAAGGATTCGCGCAGATTCGGCTTCGTTAAGAGATTCTCCGATTGGATGTGCAGTGGGACCAACGACGCGCTCGCGGCGACTGCGCTGATTGCGCCACGTCAGCAGGCATTGGATGAGCTCGAATAAGAAGCCCGGAAGGAGAACGAGCGACGACGCCTGCAGTCGCCAGCTTGCGACGGCGACGGGATCGGCGTCGCGAATGGTTTTCGTGACGGCTCCAGCGGAAGAGACGGCGACGAGCGCGAGGCAGAGAAGCGGCGCGCCCCACCAGGGCATGCGCGCTCGAGTTGCGCCGCTTGGGGGAGATTCCGGTTGCGCCTGCGCGGAATTATGCTCCGAGCCCGCCGCGCTCCCCGCGGCATTTCCCGTTTCTCCATCGGGCGGTTGCGGTGCATCGAGGGCTATGCGGTTGTCAGGGATGAGCGGCTGTGAGGAATCCTCGGGTGAATCTCGTACGCGGAGCATTTAGGAACCTCGGAATTGAAACGCCTCGCGAGTCGCGCGAACTTGATTCAGGCAGCGGACAGCTCAGAAATACTGCTAGGAGAGTGAAAGATGAGACGCGACGCGCATGTGGTAAGGTAGGAAAAACTGCGTCCAGCCGGATTCGAACTCGCGGCGGTTGAGGCCACAGAGCGAAGATGTCGGTAACGAATGCATGTAGATATAAAGAAACACTGTACACGAATTAGTAGCTTCACAGAATTGAGAAAATTCCACGCCAACCGCACCCAACCTTGGCTTGGGTGAAACGACGTCGCGGTCTCGAATGAGCTGAGCTGAATTGAATTGACATGACAGGCGATCGAGGATTTCCGTTTTCCTTCCCCGAGGGCTGCTTCGACTCGCGTGTGTGTGAAGCTACAGTACAGCATTCGTTAGGCGAGAAGCAACTGCGACCGTGACATGACATTGCCTGCATGAGTACTTATGGGCTGACCGCGAACTGCCTGTCAGGCGAGTTGTTTAAACGCGCGGTTCAACATTCGTGACGCGGTTTAGACTAGTATGGGTTTGCGACTCTTCTGAAACGTACTTACCTTGCGCAGACGACCGCTGTGCGAGCCTAGGTGGGGGAGGCCTGCGCGTCCTGTGCGGCATAATAAGGCCTCTGCGCCGCATTCGGCGTGTGTGGCGTGTGCAGCTTGTGCGACCTGCGCGTCCTGTGCGACGTGTGCGACGTGTGGGCATGTCGGCGGGGTACGCGGCGAAGCTGTCGTACCGCGAGGACGTGGGGACCGTGGGGTCGCCGGAATACGAGGAGTCGGGGGAGGCGCTCCGCCGCAAGGTGCGCGGTGGGTGGTGAAGGGGGGGGGGAACAGGGGGGTGACCGAGCGAGTGAGAGAGAGTGAGGGGGCGAGGGGAGTTGCTGCAGCGAAGCAGCAACGTGTTAGGCTAGGGGTCGCGCGAACCAGCTTCAGCATGTTGCCCTCGCTCATCTCTCTCGCTCTCCTCTGTTGCTCTCTCTTTCTCTCCTTCGTCTTTCCAGTCCGATATAGTTCGAGTGCTACTGTGCATGCTCGCATGTACGCATCCATGCATGCATGCGTATTTGCATGCTTACCCCTTTTCCCCAATCTCTGTGCCTCTCCCCCATACTTTCACATCCCATCCCATCCCATCCCATCCCATCCCATCCCATCCCATCCCATCCCATCCCATCCCATCCCATCCCATCCCATCCCATCCCATCCCATCCCATCCCATCCCACCGCGTGCCATGCTTCGCCATGCGCTCCGCTGTGTGTGAGTAGCTGCACCAGCTGGTCGATATTTTCACCTCCGTGAGTCTCCTGCTCCCCTTTCATGCGCTCCTGCCTCCGCCCCTCCCTTCCTCTCCATGCACACACGTCATCACAGTCAGTCAGCTTTGCCTATAGCATTTTCCCTTTGAAACACTTCGAACCATTTTTTTTCATCACTGCGTAGTTCTGCCTCTGCTTCGGCCATCTGCCCTCCTCGCCTCACCACACCCCGCCCCCGCTCTTTCCATCCCTGCTCCTGTTTCCATCACTTCTGTGTTGCAATCACATGTCGTTATGTTGTCATGTTAACCATGAAGAAGCGAAGCGCAAGTGGTGCGCACTGCTCACTACCCTGTTCGCCAACCGCGTTGTACGCAGTTCATAAGGCTTACAGATTCCCTTTCCTCTCCCACCCTCCTGGTCCACCCAGAGTCAGCGCGTGGTGGCGTTCACAGGAGCAGGCATCTCCACTGCAGCAGGCGTGCCGGACTTCCGAGGGCCCTCGGGCATATGGACGCTGCAGGTGCGTGTCCATATGGGAGGGAGGGGGCATATGGAGAGGGAGGAGACGGGAGGGGCATAATGGAGGGGGGAGGATGGGCGACAAGGTGTGTGAAGGCTGAGCGTAGGAGGAAAGAGAGGGGTTACAGCGCCATTGGTACGTTCTTATGTGATGGGCGGATCAGGTTAGATTCCTTACTTGCTCCCTTCCTGCACCACCCTTCCATCACACTTCCAACTCACATTACTGCCAATATCTTACCATCTCTGATCCAGCCCGTCTTTCCGTTCTACTCATCGCATTCCCATCAGCGACGTCCTCTTGATGCCTCTGCTTGAATTTCTTTCTGCTTGCCTCTCTGTCTGTCCGTCTGTATGTCCGTCTGTCCATCTGTCCCTCTCTCCGGTCATCTGCCACCCTCACCTGTGTGTGTGTGTGTGTGTGTGTGTGTGTGTGTGTGTGTGTGTGTGTGTGTGTGTGTGTGTGTGTGTGTGTGTGTGTGTGTGTGCGGCGGGGCAACAGCGGCGGGGGCAGAGCCTGCCGAGCAGCATGAAGGCATTTGGGGATGCAGTGCCGTCGCTCACGCACATGGTGCTGCTGCACCTGCTCAGACTCGGCCGCGTGCACTGCATGCGTGCGCGGGGGTGCCGCGCACCCATCTGGTGGAGCTGCATGGCAGCTGCTTCCGGGAGCTCTGCCACCGCTGTGGGGCCGAGTATGCACGCCTCTTGCATGACACGTGCTCTTATGCTCTCGTGCATTCGTGCACTTGTGCAGTTATACTGGCATCCACTTATGCTCTCATGCACTCACTCACATGTCCATTTACATTCACTGGTCGGTGCCTCCTCAAATGCTATCTTCACGCCCGCATGACCAATCGCTGTCACTATATGCTGCTTGTCTTGCCTTGCCTGCTTGGCTTGCGGTCTGTGTCATGACACAGTACTTCCCCTCCGCCCTTACTTCTTCGCCCATCGTTGCGTCTTTCCACATCCTCGCTTTCTCCCCCCCCCCTGTGCACGTATGTCTCTGCGCGCATCCCATCACGGCAGGTACCAGAGGGCGTTTGAGCTGGAGAGCATCGGGCAGAAGGCGACTCGCCGGCGCTGCACGTCTGTGGCGTGCGTGGCGCTGGGCACGGCTCCTCGCCTCAGGGACTCCGTTCTCGACTGGGAGGTGGGTGGGCCGTGGGACGGTTGGGCATGGAGCATGGGGCATGGGGCACGATTCATGGGGCATGGATCATGGGGCATGGATCATGGGGCATGGATCATGGGGCATGGATCATGGGGCATGGATCATGGGGCATGGATCATGGATCATGGGGCATGGGGCATGGGGCACGGGGCATGGGGCATGGGGCATGGCACTTGGGACGTGCGACCCTTGCCGCTGTTGCCCTTCCTTCCCTCCCGCCCCTTCTGCCCGTTGAAGCCGTCACTCCTTCCCATGCCCAGCCGTACCCTTCATGCCCGGTATGCGTGACAACATCATCATAGTGTCACCCCCTTACCATCTGCTATGAACCAATGCTTCCCATCTAGCCCTGTACCTGGCTATCCCTTTACTCAGAACCATACCCCGTAAACCCTACCCCACGCGCCGTACCCTGTCCCCATCACCCCATCTTCCCCTCAACCTCTGCCCCCCCCTTTCACCCCGTGCCTCCCTCCTGTCACCCGTGCCCATCAGGACGCGTTGCCCCCCTCGGAGCTGGAGCGTGCAGAGGACGAGTGCTCCAAGGCTGACCTCGTGCTCTGCCTCGCCACCAGGTGCCACCTCCCCCACTCCCCGCCTCCCCCATCCCCTCCCCCCCTCCTCTCCTTCTTTCTCCCTTCCTCTTATCCTCTTTTGCTGCAGCGTTTGTCCCTCCGCCCTTTCACCCTCCCTGTCTCCCTTTCTTCCTGTGGACTTGATACATGCAAACCATGTGTGCACATGCCACGCCACCACGTCATGCGTACGTGCCACACCATCTCTGCATGCCGCCTCATGAACACCCCTTGATCTCTCGCCATCTCCCGCTCTCTCTCTCTCTCACCGCTACCTCTCCGTCCTGCTCCTCCCCGTGCCTGCATGCCACCTCGCACGCCCCAGTCTGCAGATAACCCCAGCGGCCAACCTTCCCCTGCGAGCGCTGCGCAATGGGGGGCGCATGGTCATTGTCAACCTCCAGGTGATGCCCAGGTGGTGACGTTCAGGTTTTCTTCTAGGTGTTTGATTATCAGGCAGGTGACTCTTCAAGGGGTCTGTTCCTCAGGTGTTTCTTCAGATGGTTTCTTATGACACTCGCATCAGTTCGCATGGTGCTCCAGCGGGTGTACGGCACAGCCTGATGCCTCGCTGTCTGCTTGCAAGCCATGTGGTTCCAAGAATGTGTGCCTGTGTGCATGTACATGTGCATGTGCATGTATGTGTGTATGTGTGGCGGTGCATGCATGCATGGGTGATAGAGCAGAAAACCCCCAAGGACAAGAAGGCATCGCTCGTCATTGCATCCCGGGTGGATCAAGTGAGTCATGGCATGCTCAGCCTTGCACCACTAATTACCCCACTTCCGATTAATTCCAGGGTCCAATATCGTGCTTGCAGCACTAACCACTTGAACGTTTCTAACCGGCACACCTTTCAACTGCACACAGTGCTTGCATGCTGCCCTGCATGCAGACCACCCTTGCACGATACTGAGCATGCTTGTTTGCACTTGCGCATGTGTGCATATGTGCGCATGTGTGGATATGTGCATGTGTGCTTGCGGGCATACGTGTGCTCATGCATGCAAATGCATCTGTGGGTGTTCATGAACGCATGCATATGTGTGTGTGCACAGGTCATGGCTCACCTCATGGCCTCTCTGCGTCTCACCATCCCTCCTTTCCACCGCACCTACTCTCTGCACATCCGCCACTGCCTAACACGTGAGTGACCACCAAACCTTCCCATTCACATCCTTGGCAATGTCTTTTTATGTCTTCCATTCTGCTCGGCTTTCGCTCCTGTTGGCTGATAACATTCAGTCATGATTCTAGACAGAGCTTTCTCAGTTAGGTTGCTGCGATCGAACCCGTCTTCTTCTTCCTCCCCCTCACCAGCCACTCAACCCCGAGGCAAGGGCAAAGCCAAGAAGCATGCAGCAGCGGCACACCCACCAGAGTTCACAAATGCAAGTGCGGACAGCCCAGCCCCAAACATGTGAACATGCTTGCACATGCCACACTGCCTGCGTGCTCCATCTTTGCGTCTATGAAGCTTCGAGTATGAAGCTTCGAGTGCTATTCTGTGTTTCTATAGGCATGCAGCACGAGACAACAACAACAAGGTGAATAGCCAGCACTCTCCCATCTCTTTTCTTCTTCCCCCCTGCCCTGCCATTGACGCACACCCCCGTGCTCCCATGCGGTCTGCAGAGGTGGAAGCTGAGTGTTGCAGTGGAGAGCACTCTGGGGGCCCTCGCACCCCTGCCATCGCTAGACTGCATTCAGGTGAGACAGACTGACTGCTGGCCCATGCGTCACTGTGTGTGCTTTGTGTCACTGCTGCTGCCGTCCCCCACCACTCTCCCTGTTTTCCCAGGAACACTCCAGGAACCAAATGATTGAAATGGACCTACACTGCTGTTTCGTGCTGTTATTGCTGTTGAGTATCCCATCCATGTCAGAGGTCCATCTCTTTTGACCTCCTCTCAATACCTTTCCTGCTTCCTTTCCTCTCCCTGAACCTCCAGGTCTCCTTCCCTGAAAGCTGGCCGTTGGATGAGCTCACCCTCTCATCCCCACCGTACACTTTCAACAGGTGCTGTGCTACATATGATTTGTGTGGTCCGCTGCTTCACGCCCTCCCTCTTGGCCTTACTTGCTCTCTCTTGCACTCTTGAATTTGGATCTCTCTAAAGAAGAAAATGAATAACATTAGCATTTGCTGTCTAGCTCTATCAGCGACCTCTCCTGCTTTCCTTCCTGACAGGACCTTCAAACTGCAGATGCAGCAGGCGGATAGGGAGGAGGGAGAGGGTGAGAAACAGCAGCAGCAGCAAGGCACGACCCCATTGGGAGCCATCAGTTTCACGTTCAACTTCTCCCAGGGCTATGAATGCGACCCTATCACCATCCATCATGCCATCGCTCCTTGTCCTTATCAAGTGTGCCCACATCTCATATCTCTCCACCTACTCTCTACCATCTCTCTTCCTTCTCTCCGCCTTCTCTCCACCTTCTCTCTTCCTTCTCTCCATAATTCCCCTCGTCATTTCCAGTTATTCCGTACCTTCACCCTCCCCTCTCCATTCCCTTGACCCACTTCTCTGCCTGCCTCTTCTTCTGTCTCCTTTCTTGGTCCCACTCTCTCTCCGCCCTACCAGCATTTGAGAAGACTTGATTCATAATGAGTACGACTCACTGTTTTGTGTTCCTGAATGCTCTCAGACACACACTCATTGCTGTGCAGCGTGCAGCACTCATTGTGTCAAAGTGCACCTCTCACTACCGAGCATACATCATCTGAACCACACGACACCTGCTTCCACCGCCCATGCCAGGAGCCAGCACCCACGGCAACGCAGGGCGAAGAGCATTCCGTGACATATAACACCACATCGCCACCACCACCGGTTCCCATACCACCGGTTCCCATGCCACCTGCTGTGCCGGAACTAACACTGGGATCCGCAGCTGCCTCACCTGAAGGAAAAGCAATGCCTGTTTCACTACCTGCAGCACCAGCAGCAGCGGCAGCAGCAGCAGCAGGAGCAGGACCATCAGGAGAGCCAGAATCCGCAGTACCAAGTGCAGCAAGCGGCTTGGCTGAAGCAGAATGCACTTTCTGGGAAGGAAGGGCGGTGGGGAGTGTGCGAGTGCTTGAGCAAGCAGCAGGGGGGCAGCACGCAGAGCAACAAGGGGCACACGGGCATAGCAGCAGCGGTAACCACACGGAGCATGGCAGCTTGGAAGCAAGGCTGGATGTCTCTCCACCATCAAGCTCTGCCCATGTACAGGCATGCAACGGACTCTTAGAAAATCCGGAGCAGGGTTCAGGATTGCAGAAAGGGACGGGTCCTATGTGGCATGTGGTGGGCTATGAGATGCTGACAGCTGTCGTTCGGTACACAGTCAGTGAGGCTGGGGTTGGGATAGGGCCCGGTGGGGTGGGTGAAGGGGAGGGGCGAGGTGGAGTGGGCGAGGCCAAGAAAGAGGAGGAGGAGAAAAGGGTTGGAAGGGGGGGCGTGAGCGGGGATCGGAAGAGGAGAGGAGTGAGGAGTCCAAGAGGGGCAAAGAGAGGGAGAGGGAGAGGAATAGTAGGAAGTGGAGGAATGATTTTGAATGGAGTGAAGGTAGAGGGTGATGGGATTGGTGAGGGGTGCAAGGATGAGCCCGAGAATCCAGGAAACCAATGAGGCAGAGCTGTGAGGCAGGTGTGGTGGCAGGGGGATGAATGGAACAACAGATGTGGGTGTGCACTCTGGTGAAAGTAGTTGCTGGCACCCAACTCTTGGTTGGCAGCATGGCAGTGAAGAGCGCTGTTGTTCGATAACATTTGGAGTGGGGAGTTTTACTGAGAGATGGGCCCGAGTTGAAGGTCTGGCCCTGTTGTGGTACGGTATGCCTGTGCCTCACACCTTTTCTGTGCAACGGCAACCATTGATTGGCCCTAGCATAGCATTTGTACAAATGGCACCTGTAAGTTGCCTTGCTTACTCAACCGATCATCAATGCAGTGGTGCTGCTAGTAATCTCCGTGCATCAGAAGATGGAATATTGCGACCTGCACTAGCCAATCAGAAGTTGAAAAAAATCCCTCAGCCCAATCAGACTGAAATTGAAAAACACAGTGAAGTTTTTGCATTGTAATCATTAGCGAACTCATCAATTGGCAATTAGCCTGGAATGTGTTGCAATTTGTAAAACCATCCTGTCAGCAACACAACCATTCCCAACAACCTGAACGATTCGACATTCTCAAGCTCCTCTTCTCTTCTCTCTTTCCCTCTCTTGCTCCGAAGCTTTGTTGTCCACTCCTCCCCTCTTCGCCTCCTTTCCACCTTAACCCCGTTCAATCACACACAGATGAAGTGAAGAGACACAGGAATGACTCCCTCAGTAAGCCCCAGCTCATCTGTCCCTCTGCTGCCAATCCTCTGTTGCTGCCACACAACATGCCCCTGTTGTCTGCTTAGCATGGTTGTGCTGCCACTATCGCCCTGCCTCACTAGTGCCCGGCCACAGGGGGAGCACCTGCTGCCATGCCTCCCCCTGTCACTGGCCCACTGCTCGGCCCCACCACCGAACCCCCTCCCCCTCCTCCCCCCCCTGCGCCATCATACCCTCCTCTCCCGCCCCTCCGCCCTCCCCTCGCGCGCCCCCCACCCCTTCGGCCTCCCCCACCGGCACCTCCCCCCCCATACATTGATCCCATGGCTCCACCCTGGGGTGCTACTCCAGCACTCATGCCAGGTGTCATGCCAGGTGTCATGCCAGGTGTCATGCCAGGTGCCATGCCAGGTGCCATGCCAGGTGTCATGCCAGGTGCCATGCCAGGTGCCATGCCAGGTGTCATGCCAGGTGTCATGCCAGGTGCCATCCCAGGTGCCATGCCAGGAGCGCCCACCATGCCTCCCATCATGCCAGCGTTCACCAGCACAGGGTCATACACCACGTACCCTCCCCCAATCATGCGCCCACCTCCTCCCCCCCTCCCCCCCCCCGGCCCCCTCCCCCACGATAACCCCCCCTTGAGCCCCGTCCGCCCATGTACCCCGGACCTGCGCCCATGATTCCGCCCCTCCCTCCACTGCCGCCACCGCTGCGGGAAGTGACAACTGGAGTGTGCTGCGTGTGTGGGTGCTGGTGCCCTGCATGTGCTGCTGGGGCCGTACCCACCTGTAGGGCACAGCAATGGGGGATTGGTTGGTGGGTCATGGGTGAGAGAGCGTTGAGTTGTGAGCAGTGGGCATCTCAAGGTGGAATCGCAGAGTAAATGGTTCTGGAGTGTTTGCGAAAGTGTCGCAGGCAGTACTTCAGTGTCAAATCCGGCAACTGTCAGACAGAAAATCCGAGCTTAGTAAAAACCCGAGACCCATAATATCAAACAGGGGCACACACACATATGAGCCCACCATCAGCACACACACGACAGATTCTCCTTCTCCACCCAGATAGTAAACCCTCCCCCATTGCGGCCCACCATGCTCACCTGAGTCGCAGACTGCCCCTGCTGCACCTGCGCTTGCTTCACATGCTCTGGGCCCACCACACCCGCCCTTGCCACCTGCTGCCCCACCACTGCACCAGGCTGACCACCAGTAACAGGCACCTGCGGCACCTGAGGCACCTGAGAAGCCTGTGCCGCACCCACCGTGCCCTGTCCCTGCCCCACCACACCCTGATTGCCTACCACCGGCGCTCCCTGCTGCCCAACCACTGCTGCCCCTGCCGCCTGCGCTGCCGCCTGCGCCTGCACCTGTTCCGCCTGTGCCGGCGGAACAACAGCGCCCATAGGCGCAGCCGCGGGCACTGGCGCGCCCTGCACCAGCGGAACAGTCACAGGGGCTGCGGCGACGGCGGAAAGCGCGTCCGGGCGTACGGATCCGAACACAACTCCGTTCACGGGCAACGGTCCCCCTGGGGCAGGAACAGCGGTAGTCGCGGCGGTTGGAGCTGACGCAAGGGGCGCAGGGGCAGAAGGCGCATCCGCAGGCGTGGGCGCGGAAGGCGCAGGGGGTGCGGCGGCAGCAGGGGCGGCGGCAGATGGGGCTGCGGCGTAGGAGGAAGCGGGGTCGGCGGAGGGGAAGTGGCCTTGGGCAGCCATGGCTGCAGCGGCAACGACCTCGGATGAAACGACCTCGGCCCATTTGGTGAAAAATCCGGAAGCGATTATGCGGTCCAGGCGATCGCGCAATTGCGCATCTGAAATGACCGCAGCGGGCGAGGGACAACCGAGAGGTGGTAAGGGTTGGCACAGGTGGAGTGAAGAGGGATTAAGAGTTCGAATTGAGATCAAGAGGACAAGAAGGAAGGAGGAAGCGGAGGATGTTTTCGTTTGCATAAGGAATAGGAATCCGATAGGGAGGTAAGCCGAGGCATGAGGACGGCCACGAACCTGTCTGTTGACGTGACGACCGTTAGACGACCGACGGCTCGTGTGACACACAGAAAGCCGTGAAGGCTGCACATTCGTACACGTAAGGTGGATGGTCGGGTCGATGGCAGTTTGAGAGCGCGACGCCAGCGCCACAGCATGCGCCACACACCGATCCACCGCCTCCTTGTGATTCGCCGCGCTCGCGTCGCGCGTCGTCAGCATCCGCGCCGCCTGTGCGACGGCATCAAGATCCGCGTCGCACAGGAAAGCCGCGGCGTTGTCGTCAGTGATAGGGTCGTAGGAGAGGCACGACGTGCGCTCCTGCGTGTTGCGCCAGCTCAGCAGCGGCGACGCTCCGGCGGAGTCCATCCGCAGATCGAAGAGCGAGCCGAAGTAAAGCACCTCAACAACGCTTCTCACGGCCCGATCAACGTCATCAGACTTATCCTCTCGGCCTGAAACTTCCTTCGCTGACTGGCCCGCCTCCCCTGCGGTGGAATCCGTTTGCCCATCGGCCTTCTCCGCTGTTCCATCAGCAGCCACTGCCTCTGCAGCTTCGACTTCTTCAGCAGCAGCAGCCGCCGCCGCTGCAGCTGCAGCCGCGGCCGCCGCCGCCGCCGCCGCTGCTGCCTCTGCAGCCTCCTTCTCAGCCTTCTGCTGAATTGCGGCGGTAACGGCCTTCTCGCAGTCCGACACCTGTTCGTGCACGGATGCCTGCAGCGGCGTGTAGAGCTTCTCATACTCCTCGATCAGCAACGTTACCGTTAGCTTCTGCTTCAGAACCTCTTCCTGCTCCGGCTGAAGCTTCTTCCCCGCAGCCTTCGCCTCCTCGATGTCTGCGATGCGCTTCTTCTTCTTACGGAGCGCGCGGAGCCGCTTCGACATCATGACCATGACCGCACCCTCGGGCCGCAAATACCCGCCATCCTCGATCCCTACGCCTGCTCCCGCGACGAGTTGCCCGGACGATGAGGTGGTAAAGTCCTCGGGAATTACTCCAGTCGTCGTGGGTTCCACCGTGGAAGCCATGATTATCCTACGACTGGTCCGAGTCGCTTAGACGTGAATTTAGTTAGCGCTTACTTAGATCTAACGTAAGTAAACGCTACAGGGTTTCGAGACGGGCCGATGGCGGAGAACACGGGACCAGACAGTACTCAACCACACACGGGATCGGACAAATCTGTCGTCGCTACTGACCTGAACCACAACGGGACCTACCTTGAATTGGGCATGGATTACTCAACGCCAGCTGAAGAGACCAAGAAGGATGGGACTGGAACTTACGAATCTGGGTGATGCAGGAGGTGTGCTGCCAACGGATTCTGAGTTCCCAACTTCAAATCCAATCCAGCAGCAGACCCCTGCCTTCACTCTACTAGATCTCGCACAGCGAAACCCGTTACGGCTTACAACGCCAGCAGCTTGTCGAAATTGACGAGGGAAGTGATTGCTACCCGCAAGATGCCGCAGGTGTACAAATGTTTTCCGAAGCTGAAAGGTGATCTGGCGGCTGCTGGTGCCTAAGCCGAACCGACAGGCACAGGCCTGGCCTTTATGAACCGTGACGATGTGATCACAAGAGGCTCGTTTCTGCCACACCTCCTCGAGGCTCGGTAGCAGGAAACCAACCAACGTCAAGGGACGTTGGTGCGGAGGTATGGCATGTGCGTGGGTCGTTGTGCAGGGACGACATGCTGCTTCTCGTGTGCGCGTGAGCGAAATCCTGCGGGCAAGGGGGAACACATCGCGGCTCTCGAATCTGGCACTGCGGATGCGGCGCGTTCAATCAAACTTCGAGAACTTCATCGGGGTCATGTGAGCCGGAGTGTTCAATATCAGAGGTCAAAACAGAGGGAGTCAGTAACTGTAATAAAATACCTTCTGGATAGCAGGTAGTTCTTATTGAACTAGCTTAGCTTGCTATTGGTTCATAGATTCTTGTTTTAAAATCTAGGTATACTCTGATAGCCTCACTATTCTTTGATAAGGGAATCAAGAAGTCCTCCACAGGCATCATCCAGCAAGTCCAATACCTGCATTCCATTAGGAAAAGGCAACAGAAGTAGTGACATTTTTTCTGGTTTCACATAGCTCTGAAAGGGCAAACACACATATACTGGTACTTACTGTCTCGAATCCCTGTGCGCCACCGTAGTAAGGGTCGGGGACCTCGTCATAATCAAGCTTGCGGCAATAGGAGCACATAAGCTTAACCTGAATAGCATAGCATATGAAGGAAAGCAAGGACTTCTTTTGGGCCTTTTTGAAACACATGGAAGCACATGGAAAGACATGAATGATTGTGCTAAGAAAGTCCAAACACATGACGTCAGAAAGAGCAAGATTGCAAGCGACCAGATCAGGACATGACACAGATCACATACCTTATCAAGACCATCTCTTGGGAGGTCATGAGCGCGCTGCCACTGGCGGAACGCACGGCCTATGTCATCTACACATGTGATGGAAGCCGCAAGGCAAGCAGGAAAGAACCACAGCCAAGGGGAATCAATGAGAAGAACAGAGCAATGGGGAGGCTGGATAGGGAGCAGGGGCCGGGAAAGGGAGGGAAGAAAGGGGGATGGGGAGGGACTAGTAGAAGAGTCCCAACCACGATGAGCAACTCCGTTTCGCCCAGCTCTGCTTTCTCCCCACAACATCCACGTACCATCCCTCCCCAACCCCCGATGCCACGTCATGTCACGAACCTTGGTTGCTGCGATCCATGGCGAGGATGATGTCGAAGGTCGAGAAGTCCGACGGCCGGATGGGCCGCGACAGCGACGTCAGGGGAATGCCGCGCCGCTCCGCCGCCTTGCGCATGCGCGGATCCGCCGGGTTGCCCTGCGGAGCAACGAGTGACACGGGTTGCGCGAAACCATGGGGAAATTGAATAATTTGGGGCAGGGTAACCGTGGATTGACCGCAGCTGCGTTGCTTATCCTGCGCACGAAGTGCAGACAAGAGCGGAGCGCGTCGCGTGTGTTGGTGACGTGGCGTACCTCGTGGTAGTCAATCGTTCCGGCGGAGTCCACGTGGAAGCGGTCCGCGAGGCCGCGCTGCTTCACCATATGCGTGAACACGCCCTCCGCGGACGGGCTGCGACAGATGTTGCCTGGGGAGGAGGAGGCATGAGCACGGTTCGGGTGACAGATGGAAGTGGGCTTGGGGGGGTCAAGGGTGTCACTATGACGCCTAGAAAATGACGCATATGGAATTTACGCTTGCTCTGGGAAGAAGGAGACGACACGGGAGTGGTGGACGAAGGGCGGATGACGATGGGAGTAGCACGTGGTGCGAAAGCAATGCACAACGACTAGGGTACCAAGGCATCGATGTCGGCGCGGAACTCGGTAGAATTCGTGTGCTACGTGGCAGGCAGAACATTCTCACCCAGGCACACGAACAGCACGGAGATCTTCGATCCGTCAGCGGCATTGCCGCCGTCAGCAGCGGCCATTGCGACTGCTCGGCGACTGGAACCGGACAGCGATCGCGCTGCGAGGTCGAGGTTATTATAATTCACTACCGCGCGAGGGTGATGATTGAAGAGAGCGGTGCGCGCGGGGAGAAGTGATGAGGTCAGCAGGCGGCCTGCACAGGCCGGAGCTACATTCCGCGAGGGACGGGAGCGGGGGGAGAAAGCGCGCCGAGATGGCGCGACGGCAAGCGACGACGAGGCGAGGGGGAGAGCCGCGACCCGCATTGGATGCGATGGGGAGCCGAACGCAAATGCCGCTGGCGAACGATGCTGTCAGCGGGAGCTCGGCGTGTGTGTGTTGGTTCAGTAGAAGGAACGTAGGGCTGCCCTTCAAGCAGGGGTGACTTTTGGACCCTGTGTTGAGAAACTGTTTTCCGTAAAGGAGGTACCTGTTGGAGTATACATTTGTGATTCTCAAAGATTTTGTGGAACAAGCCAAAGCAGCTCTCCAAACCCAGAGGTTTGAGGTTGTTCTCAGTCCATCGGTCGCAGTCTGTCGCCTGCCATCGATTTTTCGTCGCATTCTCGTCGCAGCCCCTGTGGGGACCTCTCGTTGCGCGTCGTTCAACTCCTATGCACACCACGGCCGCCACCAGTCCGTCCCTGCGTGCCCCCCCTCGGGCACGCCATGCCTCCTTGGGATTCCCGTCAATCCGACATCCTGTGCCCTCCCACGTGCCACCACCTACTCACTGCCACCTGAATTCCACTCCGCTAACGACACGTGTCGCTCCCGCCGTTCACAGGCGGGGGCTCAAGGAGCGCGACACGTTATTTCGGGAATGGCGCGTGAGTGCTGGCGGCGTTCCTGCCTTGCGGTCGCTCGATCCTTCTCCCGTGATTCGCGCTGCTGAGCTGGCACGTGTGCGTGTAACGGGAGGCTGGAGAACGCACGCGGTGAGGGAGCCGGCAATTGCGGGGGAGAGAAGAGGAGGGAGCAGCGAAGGCGAGGAGGAGGAGGAGACAGAGCATGGGGAGTTACGCGGAGATCCCGATGGGCTGGCGGCGCGCGGCGAAGGGGATGGCGCGGGAGGGGGAAATGGGGATGCGGAGGATGGTGGAGAGACGTTGGAGGATGTGGTGGGGGATATGCTGCCACGATGGTTGCTGGACAGGTGCGATGATGGATGGCTTGGCGCGGAATGGTGTCACGTGGCAGAGTGTGGCAAGTTCATGGTATGGTATGGTATGGTGTGGTGTGGTGTGGTGTGGTGTGGTGTGGTGTGGTGTGGTGTGGTGTGGTGTGGTGTGGTCTGATGTGGTGTGGTGTGGTATGGTGTGGTGTGGTGTGGTATGGTCTAGTATTGGTATGGTATGGTATGGTATGGTATGGTATGGTATGGTATGGTATGGTATGGTATGGTATGGTATGGTATGGTATGGTATGGTATGGTATGGCACGATCGGGCCACGGCATGCAGCCAGAACCCTAGCCCCTCTCCATCTGCCCCTGCTCCGATCTCCCACATCCCGTTTCTCGAGACGCCTCCAAACTCAATCTGCCTGATTTCATCCCCCTCCCTCCACACTCACACCTCCTCCCCGTTCTCCGCTTTCCCTCCCTCCTCGCTCTGTCATGTCGTGGTGCACCGTGGATGCATGCAGGGCGTGCGAGTTAGGGTTTGAGCGCCCCACGCAGACCCAAAGGCAGGCCCTGCCGGTGCTGCTCAGCGGCCACGACGCCATCCTTCACGCACAGGTGCTTATAACGAGTCTTTCCTTCCGTTGGGGCTCAACGTTTGGGTGGGAAGAATGTGTGCCCGTCCTTGCTTACTCTGCTGCACATCTCCCTTTTGTTCTCTCTCTCCCTCCTCTCCCTCTCTCTCCCTCCTCCGACTGGTCCTGCCTCCTCCTCCCAACCTCGCCCTCCCTCCGATGTGCACCAGACGGGGTCAGGCAAGACGGTGGCATTTCTGCTGCCGCTACTGGCAAGCATCGACCCCTCACGCAGAGCGCTGCAGGCCATGGTGCTGCTGCCAACGCGCGAGCTCGCCATGCAGGTGTGATGCCATGCAGGTGTGATGCCATGCAGGTGTGATGCCATGCAGGTGTGATGCCATGCAGGTGTGATGCCATGCAGGTGCGATGCCATGCAGGTGCGATGCCATGCAGGTGCCATGCCATGCAGGTGCGATGCCATGCAGGTGCGATGCGCACGTGGCAGTGAGGATAAGGGTTCCAAAGGCATCTCAGAAGGTGAGACGCACACGCAAGAGCCCTCCATGTAAGTAGGTGTGTACGTGCCACGCACACGCAGCAAGGGGAAGGGTTTCAGAGGCCCCTGGCGGGTGTTGCAGTGGCTCGCCGTGATGGTGTTCACACACACACGGGCTGCTGCTGGTTTGGGTTGGGGGGTGGGTGGGTGAGATGGCAGCGGGGATTTCGGGTCTAGGGTTAAGGGTTGAGGAGAAATGTAGCTTCTGTATCCCTGGGTGATGGTTGACGTGCATCTCCTCTTTTCTCTCCCCCTTCCCCTACCTTTTGCTCTCACTCTTCGAGTTCTCCCTCCCCCTTTCTTTTCGAATCACCGCCTGCCTCCTATACCCCCCTTCCTTGTCTACTCTCAGGTGGGGCGGCTGGCGCGCAGGCTGGGGGTGGTGAAAGGGCGAGCGGAGGGGGAGGCGGACGGGGGTGATGGCGAAGGGGAGGAGGGGGTGGATGGGGGAAGTGGTGAGGGAGAGATGGAGGGGAGAGGGGTGGAGGAGCAGCTGGGGCGGAGAGGGAAGAAGGAGCAGATGGGGAGGCATAGGGGGGAGAAAAAGGGCGGGGATTGGAAAGGGGCGAGTGGAAGGCGAGGAGGCAAGGGGGGCCGAGAGAGGGTGGGTGTGATGGTGGTGGGTGGAGATGGTGAGTCCAACAAGCCAACGAGGAGACAAAGTATCTGGCTCAAGGTAACTCGGTTGCTGGCTGGTGGCATGGTGGCATGATGGCATGGTGGCATGGTGGCATGGTGGCATGATGGCATGGTGGCATGGTGGCATGGTGGCATGGTGGCATGATGGCATGGTGGCATGGTGGCATGGTGGCATGATGGCATGGTGGCATGATGGCATGGTGGCATGATGGCATGGTGGCATGATGGCATGGTGGCATGATGGCATGGTGGCATGATGGCATGGTGGCATGATGGCATTCTGGGTGGTCAAGGGTCATACACTACATGGCCTCACATGAAATTCTCTCTCCCACCGTCTCCATCCATCTCCTCATCTCCGTCTGTCCCTCCTCTCCGTCCGTCTCTCTTCATTCCCCCCCTCATTCACTCCCTCCCTCCACTCCTCCCTCTCTCTCCCCTCTCTCTCCCCCCTCCCCCTCCTTTCAAGGCGGAGCCCCCCCACGTGCTGGTGGGCACGCCGGACGCCATTCTGGCCCTGCACCGCCGCCACCCACTCGCGTTGCACTCCCTGCGCTTCCTCGTTGTCGATGAGGTCAGGGGGGGGTGGGGATGGGGGGAGAGAGAAGAGGTCTGGGAGAGAGGGGAAGGGGGAGAGAGGTGAGAGAGTCAAGGGGTGGCGGGGAATCGGAGAGGAGGGGCTGAGATGAGCAGTAAATGGGGGTGCATGGTTATAGGGTCTTGTCAATCCGTGCAGTGTATGGGTACATGGGAGTGGGCAGGTGTTGTAGTAGTCATGTGGCATCTTCTCTCCTGTCAGTTGTGACCACAGTTGACGCGCTCAGATTCGTGTGACGCGGAGATGGGAGCACCCCATACCCGCTCGCCCCTGCGCTAACTACTTGCTAGAGTCGGTTTGTAACATAGAGCTGCCCCCAGATTGCTTGCCTCTCTCAGTCTCCCTTACCTGCCCCTCTCTCTCTTTCCTTCTCTCCTTTCTTTCCCCTCCTCCTCTCCCTCCTCCCTCTCTCCCCTCCCTCCCCCCCAGGTGGATGCAGTATCTGTGTCCTCCAAGCTCTCCGGATCCCAGTCCCTCCACAAGCTCATCTCGCTCTGCCCGCCGCCCCGCCAGCACTCACTCACACAACAAGCAACGGCCGGTGGTGCCGAGAGGAAGGGGGATCGGAAGGGCAGTGGAGGGGAGAGACAGACAGTGCTGGCGACGGCTACGGTGCCGCAGGCAAAGAGATTCATACGCGATGTTATTCACTGCAAGTGGGTCAACGTGAGTCAATGGGGGTGACTGCAAGTCAAAGTACTGGAAATCGATTGTGGGTGCATGGGTTTACGGCAATCAGATGAGATGATTCTCTTGACTTTTCCTTCTTCACCCTTTCTTTTCTACCTGGAGGGTTGATGGTTATATCGAGTCCATGCCAAGCATGTGTCTGTGCACTCACCAGTGTGTTGTTGCATGCACAAGCACAGGCTACTTGCATCACCCATGCGCATCTCGCCCTCGCCCCTCGCCCCTCACCCTCCGGTCCTCTCCCCTCGCCCGTCGCTGCTGCGAGCATGGCAGGAGGCGGTGGTGTATCTGCATGTGCACTCCACCATGCCAGCAGGCCTCATCCATCGATACGCCGTGAGTGCTCTCATGCACCACCATCCACCTGCATGTTCATCTCTCTCCCCTCTGCGCCTCTGGCATTGCTCGGATAGGGTCCATTTCTCCACGTGGCTTAACTCCGCCGTTGTTTAATTGACTGCAACCCTTCCTCAACTGCTAACTTGCTGGCTTCTCTGTTGCTCCCTTCCCATTCCTCCCCTTACTTCGTGACCACTAACCGCCTAAACAAATCAGACGTGCTCTTCCCCTTCCAAGAAGCTTCCTCTGCTATTGGCCCTGCTACAGGCCGACCGTCCCACTGCTGCCATGGTGTTTGTCCGGCAACTGGTGAGCCATGCCATGCCATGCCATGCTATGCCATGCCATGCCATGCCATGCCATGCCATGCCATGCCATGTAATGCCATGCTGTGCTATGCCATGCCATGCCGTGTAATGCCATGCCATGCCGTGTAATGCCATGCTGTGCTATGCCATGCCATGCTCTACGTCATGCCGTGCTGTGCCGTGCCGTGCTATGCCATGTTATGCCATGCCATGCCATGATGCATTTTCCTCCTGCAAGCACCCATTGACGCGTGCCTTCTCTTCCTGCCTCCCCCTCCCCGCCCTCCCCCATCCGCCGCTCCCTGGCCGCTCAGAGTGACAAGGAGCGCGGTGCAGGCAAGGAGAGTCCGTGCCGTGTCGCTGCGTCCTTCCTCTCCTCTCACCTTGCTGCCACTGCCAACCAGCCTTTCACCAACGGCGCTTCTGTTGAAGATGGCGCCAAGGTGGAGGAGGACGACAAGGAGGTTACCACATCAGGTCATGGCACACACGCTGCGAGTGTGCGAGGGCATGGCAGCAGTGGTGGGGAGCATCTGGTGTGGTGTTTGGAGGCAGAAGGCAATGTGCATGCTCGCACCAACGCCCTAGAGGTGAGAGATGGGGATTGAAGTCTCGTTGTGGGTTGTGAATACGGTCGATGCACAGACAAGTTTTCATGGCTAATTGTCTGTGAGTGCGAGTATGCATGCACATACAGATTTGAGATCTCAACCAACATGTTCCTCTCCGCTCCCATCTCCACCCACCCACATTGTTTCCCGTGCAGGAGTTCCGGTCGTCGCCAGCTCCTCATCGCGTCATGGTAACCACCGACTTTGCATCGCGGGGCCTTGATATCCCTGCCATCTCGCACGTGTACAGCGTCGACCTGCCTGTGGACACTGTGGTTTACACGCACCGCGCTGGCCGTACAGGAAGGGACCCGTTTGGTGGACAAGGGGGGGTTGTGACATCACTAGTAGGGAAGTCGGAAGTGTTTGTGGTTGAACAGATTGCCAATGAGCTGAACCTTTGCTTTGATGTGGTACGTGATTCTTGACAAGGCATAGATGTGCTGGCTGTGTTCAAGAAAGGGCTTGAAGTTAACAAGCCTCCAATGGCCTAATGCTGTAATGTCCCCACCCCAGGCCTGCATAGTGGACCCCGAAAGTTTGCGTTCTGTACTTGTGTTGTGACAGCACATAATGGCAAGTTGTCCTTGCGCTGGAGACACAGAGAATGGTGTTTTTTGTGCCTGCCTGCCTCTACATTAAGGGCCCTGTCTATCTACACTTTTGCCCAATTCTACCTGCAGCAACTTAGTTGGATCAGTACAACCCTCCTTCATGGGGGCTATGTTGGCTTGGATGTGTTGCGATCAGAAGTTGATCGTCCCTAGGATCACCTCAGGAAGGTTCGCACACAATTGAGTAGTGGTGGTGGGTCCTTGACCTCAATAGCAGAGTGAATATAAAATGCTTGAGATGATAAAAACATGCAAATACAGCACCATAAATAAGAGTACAAGGGAATACCAATCGACCTAGCTAGCCATGTACTCTAAGGGGTACATTCCCTTATTACAACGAAATCCAACCGTGCGACTCCATACAGTTACGAGACTGTCCGGGCAGAATCCTCGCCACTGCTGCTGCCTGATGTTGTCTGCCCGACGGTCCAGATCCTTTCGTAACCGTACGACCCTTCGCGTCACTTCCGTCCTTTCGTCTTCATTCTCGGTAGTGCGTGCTTCGATTGCTGCGGTAAGGAGTGCATAGTGACACTTCAATAATTACTATTCGTAACACCCCCCCTTCACTCCTGGCCGTAGCGAGTCTTGACCCGCTTGACTACTCCGCTGAGTTCGGAGCAGTGTTGGTACTACTGACGTGACAGCTTCTTCGTGAGGAAGTCAGCTGCCATGTCACCCGTCGGGCAGTAGGTTAGATCAACCTTGCCCTTGTCAACTTCGTCCTTGACGAAGAAGTACCGCAGCGCGATGTGTTTGGTGCGGTTGACGAATCCCGGTTTGTTCGCGATCCTGATCGCGCTCTGATTGTCGCAGTGCAGGCGAAAGTTCGTCGAGGCTGGAATTTTTTCGCCTCCTGCAGCAGCTCCTGAAGGTAGAGGCCTTCGCGAACGGCTGCTGTTGCTGCGATGAATTAAGCCTCCGCTGATGACAGGGCAACCAGCTCCTGCTTCTGTGAATTCCAGGAGATGGGGCCGCTGGGCTCGAGGTGGAAGAGGAAGCCTGTCCTGGACCGTCGATTGTCGAGGTCAGCGGCGTGGTCAGCATCCACGTAGCCGATGAGGTTGAAGGACGAGGTTGGGATGGTGGAGTAGCAGAGCCCAACATTGGGCGTGGAGATGAAGAACTGAAGTGCCCGCTGAAGATCTAGCAGATTCTCAGCCATTGGTTTGCGAGAGTACTGAGCTAACTGGCTCGCGATGTAGGAGAGGTCGGGCCTGCAGGTAACAGATGCAAAGAGCAGGCATCCCAACTGCTGCTGGTAGGTGTGAAGCCCAGCAGGGGATAGGGCTTTGTTGTCGGGCTTGTGGTTGGGTCCTGGAGTGCGGTAAGGGGTGGAGAGTGGTGCAGGCGCAATGTTGAAGCGCTTGCTAAGCTCCTCTGCGTACTTGGCTGCTGACAGATGAATGGCTTCCGGCGAGTAGGTGATGTTGAGCCCGAGAAACTGCTTCACGTCATGATTGCAGGTGATGTCGACGCGCCCTGCGAGGTTTTTCTCGAATTGCTCAAGCAACTCGTTGCTTGACCCTGTGTAGAGGAGGTCGTCGACGTAGACCGTGAGTAGGATGTATTCGCCGCGGAAATCGCGGCGATACATCCCAGGATCGTGAGGCAACTGCTTGGACCCGATTTCGAGCAGGATGTTGTGCAGATACTGCTGCCAGAGTCGTGGTGCCTGTTTGATCCCGTAAAGGGATTTTCGCAGCTGGCAGACACGTGAATCCCCTTCGCCGTATGCGTGCGGCTGCTCCACGTAGATCACTGCATCTACTAACGCGTACAGGAACGCGTTCTTCACATCGATTTGTCAGAGCGGGAGGTGTCGTGCTGCAGCGATGGCGATGAGAATCCTGACGGAGGTGTGGCGGCTGACCGGTGCAAATGTCTGGTCGAAGTCGATGCCGTGCCTCTGATCGTAGCGGCGCACTACCCAGCGCGCCTTGAATCGCTCGATCGTGCCGTCAGCTGCGGTCTTCACGCGGAAGACCCATTTCCCGGAGAGAATCCTCCTCCCCTTGATCGCCGCTCGATCGACGAGTACCCAGGTGTCACGGGACTCAAGAGCCTTGATTTCCGCATCCATTGCTTCCCGCCACTTCTTGCTGTGTGGTCCCGTGAGTGCTTGACGCGGATTCTTCGGCTCGATGACACGTGGCGCCGTTGAGGTGGCAGTGTGGAGCCCGAGGAGCTGGAGTCCGGTGACAGTGCTGTCGTGGCGGTGCTGTGGAGTGACTTCCTGCACGTCGTCGTCATCGCTCTCAGGATCAGGCGGTGCTGGTGGTGTTGCGCCTCCGCCGCTTCCGCCTCTGCTTCCGCTTCCGCCTCCTGCGCTTGCTCCTCCTCCAGGAGAATCGTCGTCGTCGTTGTCGTCGTCGTCGCTGCGATCGCCTCTCGTGAACTCGCCTCTGGGGTCCTGCTCCAGAATTGCTGCTGCGGCTTCGTCCTCAGGTGAGGCGTAGCTGTGGCCGTCGTTGGCGTAGACGCGATTCGCGTTCGCCTGTTCGTCTTCGCGAAATTGTTGAAGGAAGAGCCGCTCGTAGAAGATTACATCGCGCGCGTTCTTGATTTTCTGGCTCAAGAGATCCAGAATGAGCCATGCTTTGTGCTCGTGGCTGATGCCGAGGTGGATTCCCCAGCGCGCGCGGCTCGCAAACTTCCCGATGGTTGATGTCGGCGGCCGGTACTGCACCATGCATCCCCACACGCGGAGCATGGATGTGTCGCCCTTCTTCCCCGTCCACTTCACATGCGGTGAGGAGTTGCCGGAGATGGCGGTGGTTGAAAGCAGGTTGTGCATCCGCACGGCGTGGTGCATTGCGTAGGTCCAGTAGGTCGGCGGAAGCTTCGACTGCTTCATCAGCGCCCACACCTTCGTCATGAGGGTGCGATTCGTGCGCTCGGCTACGCCCTGCTGCTGGTGTGCGTAGGGGAGAGAAATGTGGTGCTCGATCCCCTTCTGCGCGAGGTAATCCTGCAGCTCCTTGCTCCTGAACTCCGCTGCGCCGTCAGACTGCCAGATCTTCAACTTCTCCCCAGATTGCCGCTGCGCGTGCGCTACCCACAGGCGGAATGCTTCATATGCTCGGCTGCGCGCTCCCCGTTTACGACCCACACGTAGCGTGTTCCGGCGTCGACGAAGGTGAGCGTGTAGAGTTCATCGTTAATGCCGCAGTGTCCCACGTTGAGAAAGTCGCTGTACACCTTCTCCAGTTTGGTGTAGCGGTTGGTTCCGGGCTCTAGCAGGGGGAACGGCTGGTGGCTCAGCGCGGCTTCGGGGCAGACGGTGCAGTTGCGCGGATGTGTCGCGCCCCTTACTTGGGTGCCATCAGGGCGCAAGAGTGCGCCAGGCGCGAACACGCCGGCCTCGATGCAGTTCTTTAGAGTCACGCGCGAGGGGTGACCTAGGCGCTAGTGCCAGATGGCATCGTCGGCTCGAAATCCGGAGGTGCGCATGTAGCGCGCGAGTGCTTCTGCGGGATCCTCATCAGGTGCTTGAGCAGGTGTCGCCGATGCTTCGTCAGCTTCTTCTTCTCCGTTCGCCGTTGTTAACATCAGCGCAAGGCATTCCCTATCAAGAATAATGGAGAGGGGAATATTAGTTCCAGGGATGGTTCCCGGGAAGAAGGTTGGTTCGCGCGGCTCGGGGGCAGGCCCTGTCAAACTCATATGCTATAGTCTGTGTAGGCTGTAGTGGGGTAGATCATATGGGGTACAACACTTTAGGGTTTCCTACTTGTACTCCTCATGCTGCTCAATGCAATCATTCCTCGTTCTATCTTTCACATGGTTTCAGAGCAGGTTCCCTAGTGGGAACGTTTGTTTTTTTAAGGGCCCACCACGATCGTTTTTTCCTGCCCTGCCCGAAGCGCGCCTCGGGCCTGCCTCACCTACGCCGTCGTGCGCCCTGCCCTACTGCCGCCCGTAGCGGCCCTGCCCTCTCGGCCCCTCGCGGCCCTGCCCTAACGGCCCGTCGCGGCCCTGACCTCGCCGCCCGTCGCGGCCCTGCCCTGCCGCCACCCGTCGCGGCCCTGCCCTCAGCTGCTCGTCGCGGCCCTGCTCCACCGCCGCCCCGTCGCGGCCCTGCCCTGCTACCGCCCCGTCGCGGCCCTGCTCTGCCGCCGCCTCGTCGCGGCCCTGCCCTACAGCCGCCCCGTTGCGGCCCTGACCTAACCGCCCATCGCGGCCCTGCCCTACACCCGCCCCTGGTAAGCGCCCATGCTGCCCGTCGCGTCGCGCGCCCCTGCTGCCCGTCGCGCCGTGTGCCCCTGCAGCTCGTCCCGTCGCGCGCCCCTGCAGCCCGTCGCGTCGCGCGCCCCTGCAGCCCGTCGCGTCGCCCGTCGGCCCTGCCCGTGCCCGTCGCGTCGCCAGAGCGGGCTGCCCCAGCCCGCCGCGACGCCCGTCCGCCCTGCCTGCCTGCGCGCCGCCCCTGCCCGCCCCGCGACGCGCCGCCCCGTGCAAGCCGCCCGCGCGCAGACCCTTGCAGCCCGCGCGCCGCCCGTCTGCAGCCCGCGAGCCTCCCCTGCAGCCCGCGAACCGCCCCTGCAGCCAGCGCGCCTGCCTCTTGCAGCCAGCGCACTGCCCCTGCAGCCCGCGAGCCACCCCTACAGCTCGCGAGCCGCCTCTGCAGCGCCCAGTGCGCCCTGCCAAACCCTAAAATAAATAAATCATAATTAAAAAAAAAAAAAAAAAAAAGAGGAGCCCTAGGTGCTGCTGCCCTAGGTGCTACTGCTGCTACTGCTGCTACTGGCGGTGGCCAGATGCAGCTCCAGCGACGTCCGCGTGCGTCCCTCACGCCCCAGCAGCTTCGTGAG